TTTAGTTTGGCCGGAGGGTGACGAAATGTGCTTTGATGCCATTTTCCCTTGATAAATCAAATAAAACTGCCGATTTTTACGAGACCATGACTAGTTCGAAGAATGTAAAAAGCAAGAGTAAGCGTCACACAACCTTGCCGATTGGCGGACCGGCCGCGCAGGGGGAATAATCAACGGAGATTCGTAATTGCTCGTCCGGATATGATCCGAGCTACCACCCAAAGTTAATAAGCTTAGTTTTCCTACCACTTGTCTTTCACTCGATAACAGTTGATCTCAACAAGAATCCCAGTTGCCACATCTATATTTTCAAAAACCCCTCGTAAAATACTCTAAAAATACTCGAATTTAAAGCGGGTACAGCGAGGTGGTTTTAGAAATTGATGGACAAAGCGATAGACAAAGAAGACGTAAGGGGTATGGCTCGATCCTATTGGCTGGAATGGGTGTTTTTCATAGACTACGGAAGAAAATGATGGACTAACTAAAATTCGCGATCAACTCCACTTGCATGATAAAATTATTGCTTGATATTGCATGATAAAATCCGGAGAGTTGTGTGTGTTGTCAACTCGCCGTTTGAAGGGGCTCCTCCTGTTGAAATTTATTGCAATGATATTGGAATAAGTTGCGGTTTTTTATCCCATCACAAATCGCCTACAATTCTTACACATAGACCGCATTTTATCAATCGTTAAAAATCGGCTATAACTGACCGAATGATGTAAAAATATTGCAATTTCCTAGTAAAACAATCACAATTCTATCTGCATAATTATTTCAATATTTTTGTTGCGCCGTGTTACTCGGGCCACCAGGTAGCTGATGAGCTTCGGGTGATGCACGACAAGTGTCTTTTGGACAAGTTCCCTAAACTTCAGCTTGTTTAAAAGAATGCCTTGCACATCACTCAACAGCCAACTTGTGGACAGATCAACAATTCGTCGCCTACCTGACATAAGGGCGTAACTAGACTCTGCAATGAACCCTGTCTTCCATACAATTCAATGCTTCACCCGGCTCATCTCAATGTGTAGTTACGCCCTTATGTCAGTCAAGCGACGAATTGAATGTTGCTTTTCCGAAAGTAAAAGCTTCCACGATTGCCAAGACACCGGTCTCTCTTCAGCTCCAGATTGATCCCCGAAAAATAAATCCAAAACATGGACTCCTGTAATTCCACTTTTGAACAATATTTGCCCCGTTTAAACGCGAGTCATTACACGGGTGCAATTTCTTAATGAGCTTTATTTCCACGATAATGGATCCGGATTTGGCAACTCGAGCGCTGGTTCACGATCCACGATGGGCGCGCCGGGATACTGCCGGCCGGAAACCGTTTCGCAGCCGTCATTTCTGAGCACATCACAGGTTACATATAGGGTATTAAGTCTCGTGTCAAGGTTCGTTTCATCTCCATCTCCACCGGCGGTCCTTGCCTTTTTGCCTCGTTTATGGCGCTAATTTCCTCCCGGGATCCCATTATTCTTTCAATCTGCAGCTCAGCAAGCTTTTAAATCACTTATTTTCCTGCCCCGATCCTCGTCTCCACCTCCTTTCGATCCAGTTGCTACATCCAGAACCAGCAACAACTATCGGCACACTGACAAAAAAACTCCGGCTGTGGAAGCCGTACTTACGGGCTACATAGACATACCGATCGCGTGGAAGTCGAAAGTTCCGGGCGCAGCACCCGAAGCAATCGAAGCAACCGCTCCAGCACCCGCCCGGAGCAATAAAAGCAACCGCTCCAGCACCCGAAACTTTCGGTCTCTGAGCCTGGAACGGACGGTATATCTATACAGCCGTAACTTTTTTTTTTTCAGTGCAACGCACAAGCAACACCAATTTTAGTGACGTTACCAGAAGTTTTTTATGGGGGGGGGGGGTCAATGGTCAAAAATTTCTAAAGGTAAAATTGGACTAAATTTTGCAATTTAAAGCTGCAATTGCTTACTCAGTCTAGAAACAAAGTATGCACGATTAGTTTCCTCACGCACATAAGTGTTTCAATAGATTAACCATAAATTTCAGTTCCTAATTGCAAAATAAAGTCATTCATGGAATTATGAAGAATGACGTTCTTTGACAATACTTGAACTACATTTTGCAATTAAAAGCTACAATTTCTGGCTCAGTTTAGAAACAACTTATGTACCGTTATTTTCCCTTTGCACAGAGGGGTTTTTATGGATGAGCCATGAATCGGAGTTCCTAATTGCAAAATGAAGTCATTCATGTAATTATGGAAAATGACGTTCTTTGACAATAATCGGACTTTTTGCGATTCGGAATTCTAATTTCTGCCTCATCAGTAAAAACATTTATTTGCATAGGGAAACTGATGAAGCATGTGTTGTTTATAAACTGAGTCAGAAGTTATAGTTCCGTCTGTTATTGGAGCGGGAAGAAGGGAGTCCAGAACCCCTGTATTTCTCTCGGTAACACCACTGATCAGTTTTTCAATGGGTCGTTTTCCTTATCCGCGAGACTTAAATAAATTTTGTTCGCAAACAAAGTGATTTCGTACGGAAATTATTTCCTAAAAGTGGAGTGAAGCTAAACCATTGCGTGATGTGGAAGGGACGGACCTGACATCCTTTAATGTTCTTGATCTGTGTACTATCAAAAATGGCATGCATTCAAACACGCCGGTCATTACCCTAGATCTGAACGCATCGAGTTCGTGACGGGGTCGTTTTTTCTTGGCGGGACTGAAAAAAGATTCCTTCGTATTACTCACTTCTACAGATATTGTCATATCATCGGACGTCCGTCAATAAATTGCGGAGCAACTTAATGTTGCATGATGCCTTAATATTCGATCGACATCCTCTTACTGGCGCTGGTCAGGATTTTCTCCTGAATGTATAGGTTCCCGCCCTTTCGTTTTTTTATACATTCTCCGAGGATCCCCAGAATGACGGTATTCCTTTAAAAAATTAGCACTTTTTAGAAGGATAGCCCTCCTCCCGAAAATTATAGGTCCCCTCTTCGGCGTCTGTCTCAAAGAAATTTGATAGTTGCTAAGAAATTAAGTGATAAGGGCATTAGCACTACCCCCCCCCCCCCCNGTAAACTTGACTCTACATCGAGGCCTGAGATATGTTTGATGCTCTGCAGCCCGTGACAAGATATACAATAATAACAAATTAAACAGCGGGTAAGAAGGCAAATTTTTACATAAATAACACCAAAACGTTCCGGCTGAGAACTCAGTCTCCTCAGTTGGATAAAAACTGTATAAAATTGTAAAAATCTAAAAACGTAGTACATGGCTGTACCTTTTAAAGCGAGAGTTTTTCTTTATCCAACAATGTTGTAATAACAACGTTTTTCTCGCCTTGGAAGGTACAGCCAAGTACTACGTTTATAGATTTTTACAATTTTTTACAGTTTTTATACAACTGAGGGAGGCTGCAGAGTTTTCAGCCGAGACGTTTTGGTGTTATTTATGTAATAATTAGCCTTGATACCCGCTGTTTAATTTGTTATTATTGTAAATCGAGGCCTTTTATGAGATTCTGCAAATTAATTATAATCCAGAATCTGTAAACGCTGTTGTCTTACATGGGTTTGGTAAATACTATTGGAAAATTAAAGTCTTAATCTTTCAAGACTTCACCTTCATCTTTAAGCTTGTATTTCTTGTCCTTCCTTTCAAGCAGCGAGGTGGCACCCTTTATAAGGTCGCTCCTCTGACGTAAGGGCGTATCTGCATCCTCGTTTGAGCCTTTGAGCCCTGTTGTCCATATAACTGCATGATTTCCAGAGTTCACGTTAAAGTAGAATGGACCACTAGACAAGGTACGAATTTCAGCATTCTGATACATGATTCTTAGCCAAAATTTCACGTAGAATACGACGCGCATAACGAAAATTACCGAGATCAACTCCTAACTAAGATATTTAATGATTATTGATGCGTGAATTCAAACCACACACTCATGAAAACTCAATGCTCTGCGTGATTCACATCGCGCGCTAAACGTTATCATGACAGTCTCTGCGATATAAAAATCTGACAACCTCAATCTTGACGCTTTGGTTCAGCTGTAGCAAATTGCTTATAGTTTGAACAACACATGATGGGAAATGAACATTACTCGATTGAGAAGCTTGTTGAAACCGTTGTAGTGCGCGATTTGACTCACGTAGAGCTTTGAGTTTCTTGTGAGCGGGCAGTTCAAATCCCTCGTAACCAATGTGACATAAAAACGTTAATATTTTCGTTTGGAGTTTGTTTCATTAGTTTTCGTTGCGCAAATCGTGTTTTACGTGAAATTCTGGTTAAGAAACATGTATCAGAATGCTTGAATTCGTACCTTGTCTAGTGGTCCATTACGCCCTTTTGCCACGAAAATGACCGAGTCTCGGCGCACATACCGGGCTCGGAACTCGTCGATCAGAACAAGACCCCAGCTCCCTTCATTATATTACAAATCTATGTGCTTTATGTATGTATCTGTCGCAGACAAATAGTGAAATCAGGCATTTTGTCAAGTACCTAGGCACATAGTTAAATTTTGACGGTCTGTAAAATTTTGTGAGTTTATGGCAAGGAGCTCGCGAGTTTTCAATATTTTTTTGGAAAAATAACTCATCAAACCTACGATCTCTTCCTCTTTATTTGCCTCTCACATTTGTTAATGATGAAATTCTAAAAATTCTGTATTTTATAACATGCTGAAAATTTCCAGATAAGTGTCTGTGCAGGAGCTAAAAATTGTTTAAAATACTATTGTGCGTTGCAAATTTTACTGAGAATTTATTCTTACCGGAGACATTAATTATTTTGTCTAAAATTAGGAAAAGAAGCATAATTTCAATGTAAGTTAGAATATTTGACTATTTGCATAGGCATTCGACAAAATGCCTAATTTTACTATTTGCCTGCGACATATCTATGAATGTATGTACTCACTATGCGTTTTGCTAATGTATAACGTCAACCAGTGCTATACTCAAGATATGTAATACTGAACTTCACTTGTTCACAGAGGGAGTGTATATCGGTGCACATCGGGCAAGCCGGGGTGCAGATCGGAAATGCCTGCTGGGAGCTGTACTGCTTGGAGCATGGGATCCAGCCGGACGGACAGATGCCCTCCGACAAGACCATCGGGGGAGGAGATGACAGCTTCAACACCTTCTTCAGCGAAACTGGCGCCGGGAAGCATGTGCCCAGAGCTGTGTTCGTTGATCTCGAACCAACTGTTGTAGGTACGCCGCGGGAACTTTAAAGTTTAAAATATGTAAAAATTTGGCCTATTTTGGTGTGAGAGTACGGCCGACCTATAATAAGGAAATGCTGGACCGCCGCAACCCGGTTCTACGTTTTAAGACTGGTGATATGCGGTTTTGCGGCGCCTTTTTCACCTGACTTTATATTTGGAATGTCTGCACTTCACCAAACGGTGAAGCGTGCTGAGTACAGTACCCTTGTGGTTATTTGTCCTCAAGATGCTATAGGTGCCTCCGGATGAGTGTTTACGAGGATCTGAAAGGGTAACGCGGAACCGCTATGGTGCGGTCCTACCTTACCTCTTTGGTTCTTCATGTTTACATCCATCCGGAGGCCCATGATATCCACTGGACCTTTAACCTCAAAATCACTGCACCTTGCACGCTTCAGCACATTTCTTAAGTGCAGACGTACGGAACATTCGGTTAACCGAAAGCGGAAACACAAAATCGCATAATGGCTCTGCCGTGGTAGCGAAGAGAGCAGTATGATCCATGGTTAGAACATGCTTTCACGTGTCTCGAGGTTCATCCCAGCATGCACTTACTGCTCTCTTCGCTATCACGGCAGAGCTGCGCTGTATTCCTCTGCATGGGTGTTTACATGCAGCTCTGTGCGTAAGAGTTCTTACACGAAAAAAAGTATCAGAGGTTATCCCCTAAAATCGTAGTACTATCCAAATTTGTTGGATGACATGGACATTGCTAATAATTTTAGCAAAACAGCAATATTTGGGTTAGTACACGGAGAAAAAAACTCGTGTGTGGGACCCGAAGTTTAGGTCATATGGATCTCTGAAGTTTTCAGATTGAGCATCTGAACACTTTCAGGGCCGGATTTACATTTTTAGCGCCCTAGGCTAAACTTAAGGTGGCGCCCCTAAAAGTAAGCGCTCTCGTACGGGGCGGGGGGGGGGGGGGCCCCCAGACGCCCCTCCCCTCCAGATCAGAAGAAGGATGTTAGGAGTCCGGAAAATGTTCAAATTCACCTTTAAAAAAACACCTTTGTCAACCACAATTTGTAGAATCTGTGTCCCAAAATACCATAGACTTACGGCCGGCTGTAAGATTTCCAATAGCTTCTATATCCGGCAACACAATTTCTTATAGCATTTTATAGCCGATGGCGACTAAGCGACAGCCTGGCGATAAAGTGTATGCTAAACGTTACTAATTACGGATGCTAGGACTTAGTGAATTTTTGGACTACCGCTCTCTTTTTGGGCCGTAGTATCTTGATTTATTTTGCGAGGAAAGCTCCGTGCTTTTGATGGATGCCTGCCATTCCTAACATGTTGGAGCGCCTGCAATTTTGTATGATACTGTTCAATACCTCTGGTGTGAAATAGTTGCTTCAAGCGCCGTGGTACGCTGCGGCGCGGCGCGGCGCGGCGGGCGGGCAGCCAGCGCGAAACGCGCATTGGCGCCTTCAATCCTAACAGGGAAACTTCACGCATTGCGCAATGCGTGAAGTATCCATGTTAGGTTTGAAGGCGCCAGTGCGCCGCCACTCCGCTTTGTGTTAGGCTCTAATATTTAAGCTCGTGGAGTCAGCGTTTTTCAACTCATAACTTTGAAATGTTTGCACACTCTGTATGGATTATTCTCATTTTAATTGAAAAAAAATATGTAGTAAAGGAAAATATAATATGTCTTTTGTGAATATTAAGATGATTCCGTACAAACTTAAGGATTTACAAAGCACACGAATTTCTACACAATTTCTTATAGCCTTTCATAATCGATGGCGAAAAAGCAACAGCCAGGCGATAAAGTGTAAAGCCCGACTATAGGAACTGTAGCCCGCCTGTATAATTTTTTATCGCTTCGTATAGCCCGGCCGTATGATTTTCTCCGCATTCTACAGCCAGATATATGATTTTCTGTTGCCTTCTTTAGCCGGCTATAAGAATTCCTATGGTATTTTGGAACGCAGCGCTTATCTCCAATTTTTACCAGGGTTTTGAATAAATTCTCAAAAATTTTGCGCCCTAGGCTAGCCTATGTAGCCTATTGGTAAATCCGGCCCTGAACACTTTAGGTCTAGCTGCCGAGGTTCGGATCACACATCTGAAACTTCAGTTCTTACATCTGAAGTACTTCGGTTCTCACATCTGAAGTACTTCAGATGTAAGAACTGAAGTTTCAGATGTATGATCCGAACCTCGGCAGCTAGACCTAAAGTGTTCAGATGCTCAATCTGAAAACTTCAGAGATTCATATGACCTAAACTTCGGGTCCCACGCACGAGTTTTTTTTCTCCGTGTAACACCTTATTTATTAAGGTGCTACCACAATTAATTGGAAATGTTCAAATCATCCAACAACCTCGTCCTCTTTTTCCGTGTAATTGCGGAGAGGGTGATATTTTTTCTTTTGCTTGATGTGCAGACGAAGTTCGCACGGGGACATACAGGCAACTGTTCCACCCCGAGCAGTTGATCACTGGTAAGGAGGACGCGGCAAACAACTATGCACGTGGACACTACACGATTGGCAAAGAGATCGTGGATCTCGTCCTCGACCGGATCCGGAAGCTCTCGGACCAGTGCACCGGACTCCAGGGTTTCCTCGTTTTCCACTCTTTCGGCGGTGGGACTGGCTCTGGATTCACCTCCCTCCTCATGGAGCGGCTTTCCGTAGACTACGGCAAGAAAAGCAAACTGGAGTTCTCCATTTACCCTGCACCACAGGTTAGTATTTTCCACTTTGAGATGATGTATCGATGGCTAAACTGCGAAAACACGTGGCTCCATTCTCCGGTGCTAAGGGAAATCGCCGTATAAACTTTCCGACGTTGCCAAATTCCTTGAGTTAAAACACGAATGTCCTGGTAAACTTATGAATATTTTTTTCTTAATTTTCCAAATACTTTGGACCTGAAGTTCCTGAAAATTCAAGGGGAAAAATTCATTACTTTTCTCAATTATAAACATTTTATCGAAGGAATAGTGGCGATTCTCGAAAGTTCATACGGCGTTCTTCCTTAGCACAGCACCATTTCGGTGCTACGAAATCTCTGCTTCCATTTTACTTTTACGAGGATCCAAATCATGTATATAGCTTTAAATTGCTACGTAATATTATGCTATTAAAGAAGAAAAATCAGGGAAGTTTTCAAGAAATCAACAGCTGATTTTCCAAAAAAAAAATAAAATATGACAGGAAGTCGGTGATGTCACGTTGCCAACGAAGATTATAGTGGTTTTGCACTTTGGCCATCGATATTTTAGAGGCTCCGCACTGATATCTTCTCTATAGTGTAAAAGTTACTTTCGAAAGCCAACGCTTAAATTCGCCCATAATTACGATTTGTGACTAAAGAGCTGCAGAAGAATTGATTTACATACAACTGCAATCCTGTCTGAATTTGCAAAAAATTGCTAGCAAAGTGCTCAGCTCGACATTTATAGGTCATCATAACGAGAATTTTACTTGATTTCCCTCAGCAAGTTGCTCATAAAATCATCATTGGGCGAACTGTAGCGTTCACCTCCAAACTTTAAGTTTAACTAATTCAAACATAACAATCTCACTCATGAAAATGTTAATTTTCTTTACTCACGTACTTATGGAAGTACGTATAGCTGAATCGACAAATTCGGCCGATAATGACAGGTTCTCATTGCGTTTAAGCAGAACAGAACACAATGATATGAATTTTATGGGCGCAATTTTGAAATATTACTTTATCATGAGTATTTTGTTAGAGCATCCTTTTAATCGTCTTTCTTTGGAAAGATGAGAATATCTAAGGACAAAAACTGCAAAAACCGAGTGTTAGTTGAACTTGAGAAGCGTAAAAATAGTTAGGAGCTAATGACCTGGTCATAGATAGCTCTCGATCCTCTTACACACGTCGACACGGCAATAAAAATATCCTCGCGGAGAGTTACATGCTAGACGGTTCGCAAACACACTTATTAAGTAAACATTTCAGTCTAGGTGCACGCAATGAGTTGAAACGTGTAAACATTGTGATTGTGCACGAAATTCACGATGAGCTCTGCTTGAATATTCACAGCGTGGTCTTCAGGGAATCACGGTGAATTTTCCTCAAAAGTTCTTACCTATTACAATTAAGTTTGCCGACGAGAGGGTGCATGTTCTATGAGGACGAGGAACATTTTGTCACTCATCGAGCACACCTGTCCTCGCGTTTTAATAGCAGTTCAGGTTTAGCTGCACTTCTCTAAGCATGCAGTAATGAATCAACTGATGAATTTAGGTAAATCTGTCTAGAGGAAAACCACCCAGAACCCAGGTGGCACTAGTGCAATGAAAATATTAAAATAAAATTGCAATTTCCTGCAATAAATAGCGGTTTTTATTGCAGGAAATTGCAATATCCAATGTGCAAGTGTTCGATATGTATCGCCTTTAAACGACCAACAAAATTACTTTTATGTGTTAAAAAGATAGGCAATTTGCAATGCAGATGCAGAAAAAAATTTGGACTTATTTACATTTTATTGCAATGGATGAAAAGATCCTTCAATCACTAGATAAGCAACAAAAAAAAAACAATTTGATGCAGTGGCGATAATTTATTCCACTTTGCAAAGAAAGCTACTCTCTTCACTGCAACTTGGGAAACTCTCCCGTATTGATATTATTTTATTAAGCTTATGTTCAAAAGTACGTCTACATCAGATCATATTGCTTGAGTATTTATTTTTTGAAAATAAGTGGACGACACCGAATATGAGAAAGTCGAAAACATGGCTTTACATGCGATCTTGCTCAACACCACACTTATCAGCCCTCTTTATACGGAAGAAAATTCTGCAGCTGCCTTCAAAGCTATTTTCAGAGATTAAAATGGATGAGTTTAACAGAGACGTATCAATGGCGAGGCGTGAATGATCGATTATCGATATTTTCTCATTTGAAGCTATGGTAAAGAATCGATTATTAAGGTGTCCGTTAAGCGAACACCCTATTTATCGATCCTATTCCATAGGTTTAAATGACAGATCAGCCTTTGCCTCTCCCGTTTGCTGTCTATTTCTGAAATAGTTCATCTCTTCATCAAAAGAGGCTCCTCGTATGCTGCCTTGCTTAGGAAAAACGCCGTGTGAACCTTCAGGCGTTGCCAAATTTCCTTTGATAAAACACGAATTTCCCGGTAAACTTATGAATAGTTCCATTCCAATTTTTCAGATAATTTTGTTTGCAATTTCACCTGAAGTACCAGAAAATTTCAAGGAAAAATATTCATAACTTTTTATCGAAGGAACTTTGGCAACCCTCGAATGTTCATATGGTGCTCTTCCTTAGCACGGCAGTATGATGGATTTAGCTCATGCTGATGATATGAGCACTAAGAAGACATCAATAATCCCGCGAGAGAAATAAAGGGAATCTAATTTTCCTGGTAAGTGAGAAAAGAATGAGTGTCTAAAATCCCACAGTTTGATAGAAAGTTTCCCATGTATCAGTATCGATAGCTGTAATACGGTGAAAGACGATGGTTCCGTTTGAGGCGGCTCTCGGGTCTCGGAGTCTCGGGTGATGCTGATGGCCATTCTCATGACGTGATGGTGCGTGAATGCGGATGAAGACGCCATGCTTCCAGTGGCGTGGCGTGCTTTGCGATAAATCGCTTGATCTGCCATTTAATATATAGAAAACGATCGATTAACAGGTTGATCGCAACGTACACCTTAACAATCGATTCTTTACCGAAACTTCAAATGGGGAAATATCGATAATCGATCATTCACGCCTCACCACTGCATGCTGCCCGTCCCGAGCAAGTCTCCAGAAGCTCATGCTCATATCGCCTCCACCCATTATGCATGGTCTTTTTGTTGAGCCGTCTCATTGTCACTCGTCAATGGTTGGTCAACGTTCTTCCATCGAAATTTGTCCTTCGATTGGTCGTTGCACTGCCCATTATCGCCAAGTTTACGCCGAGTTCGAACCAATAGAATTCCACACCATGAGAGACTTTTGACACCTTATGTCGGCGACGAGGAACGCAGTGAAATGGTGAGCCATGGAAAGCTAGCCCTATCTGCAAACTATTTATTTGGATGTGACCAACAGCCCTCACTCGCCTCTCTGAAGACGTGCAATGTACATTCAAATTTCAAAATGTTTTATTTGTGTTTTTCCCCCGTATATTTCACTTTAAAACTTAAAGTAGCAGATGCAACAATTATGTGCAAGTGTTCAGCGCTCTTTCTCCGCATGAAGGGCTTTATCTTGCACCGGTTCTTTACACGGCGATTACCGATTATTGAATTTAATAGCTTCAATTTATTGATCATCGATTGAGTATTCTGGCTGCTTGTCAGCGAACAAATAGATGACGTTATTTGGCGATGGACCTTCAAATAAAACGAGCATATCCTCAACTGGAAAATTGCTTCAATACCGCCTAGATGATTTAATCGGATGACTTTCTTCCTACTGACTATAAAACTTTTTTTCAGTTCATTCGCAATAAAAATTGTATTGGTGGATTACTATCAACAGTGTACCGTTGCGCGCTCATTCTGACTAGTTCGCCTTCAATACTAAAATAGGCTGAGTTAGCTACATAGGAGTAGTAATAGTTGCTTGCAGTAATGTGGCCAAGTTCATCGTCGGGTTTCACGTGGGGCGCCAACCCTCCTTCCATTCTCCTCAGCTTTTTTTCTGTGCTTAGTGTCATTTTTACTGAATGATAACTCAATTATTATAAATGATGTGTGCAAAATATATCGACGGTGAAACTACCAAACCACGTATCTCGGTTTGCGACGTCGCAGACTTCCTGTCATACTTTATTTTTTAAATGAAAAACTACTTAACGTCCAGTCTTGAAAATTTCTGTGATTTTTCCTCTTCGTGCGGAGAAAATTCTGTGAAAATTTCAAGGAATGATATTGATTTGGTCTACTTCAAAAAAATAAAATGCGAGCGTAGATTTTTGAACACCGCAAACGAGATACGTGGTTTGGTAGTTTCACCGTCGATATGTTCATTCTGATATTGAGATCAACTGTTTTTTCAGGTCTCTACGGCAGTTGTCGAGCCGTACAACTCAATTTTGACCACACACACAACTCTAGAGCACTCAGATTGTGCGTTTATGGTGGATAATGAAGCTATATATGACATTTGCCGTCGTAATTTGGATATTGAAAGACCAACCTACACAAATTTAAACAGACTTATTGGTCAAATAGTTTCATCCATCACTGCATCCTTACGGTTTGATGGTGCTCTGAACGTTGATTTGACTGAATTTCAGGTATGTTTCAAAATTATTTCAGTTTTCTCTTTTACAACATTAATTGAGGGATTCGGTTCTATATCCTTCATTTTTCCGTCAGTGTAACATCATGAAAATGAGAAAAAGTAGGCAGAGAAATCACACATTTGAAATGATTCATTTAAACATATTTGAAAAAGCCATGTAAACCTGACGGCACATGTGTCATATTTGGTTATTGGCTTTTGATTACTTTCAACTGGATGATGTACTCGTATATGCCTCGATAATTTATCCTCGCGATACAAAATGAGGTTGTTTTTTCACACTGGGTGCAGAAGGGGTCCAAATCTTATTTATGCACATTCAGTATCTAGGTACCTCTTTTGCAAGAACTCAATTAATCACCTATAACTCGACTTTTTTTTTTGACAGTATGTAAAAATATATTTTGTTTTTCGTTATTCAAAAACTCAAATGATAAGTGTTAAAAAAGAAACTCAAATAAAGTGTATACTAAATTCAGCTTGCGAGTATTAGCGTTTCTTTTCATTCTTTTGCCAAAGATTGAAAATGTGATTTTAAGATAAATAATTTGAGTACCTTCATCTCACCTTCTTCAGCTTTAAAACAATATTTGACCTCCCCGAGGATGGATTTATCAGAGATGAATATAAGATGATTTTGTAAGTATTGTAAACATCAGCATGGTGATTTTTTTTTATATTTTAATATAATTTATTTTGGTTTTTGGAAATTATAGACGAACTTGGTGCCTTATCCGCGAATCCATTTTCCATTAGCAACTTATGCACCCGTTGTCTCTGCAGAAAAGGCCTATCATGAACAGATGACTGTTGCCGAAATTACGAATGCCTGCTTCGAGCCACAAAATCAGATGGTGAAATGTGATCCTCGACACGGAAAATACATGGCATGCTGCATGCTTTACAGGTTTGTAGAGAAAAAAAATCTGACGCTTGGAAACGAAAAATCTATATTATCTAATATGCTTTCAAAATATGTATACCTTTTGTATCAGGGTTAATTAAAAATAAAAAAGAATTCAACATCTCGAACTTTATTCACAGATACTTTAAATATTATTAAGATTCAAAAGTTAAAATAAATACTTTTTTTCAATTTCATAGGAAATCATGTTTTAAATATCTAGTCATTAAATAAACTGATTTAATAAAAAATTGCCTTATTAATCAATGTAAGCTAAATTTTATTTTTAAAAAATATAAATTTTTAGAGGAGATTTGCGCTAGATTTGATCACGCTAGATTTGTGCGCATGAAGTAGAAACGAATTAAGAGTCGAACATATTAAAAGCCCCTTCAATCTATATGACTGAAACCCTCGATACATCTAGATGCCTCAGAGCATCGAGCAGTGCGCAGTATGGCGCGGTAATGGAGCGACCGAATTTCTCGAAAGAGTACATCTATCTCATACTTTCAATCACTTAAGAAGGGTCATTTAGTTTTGATTAGGAACATTTGAGTGTTTTTTTTTTTCAAGTTTTTGTAATATATTTATTTTTATTCATTGATTCACAATATTCACAAACCGTGCATCTTTATTTGAGAAATTAAGCTACGTAACCCTCATTACTAAAGCTGCATCAAGTGATGACCGCACAGACATTCATGTTTAAGAGACATGATATTTTCATTAAAGGATTTCTATCAATTATTAGCATTTATTGGAGTAATAACAAAAGTCATCCATCGAAGAGTATACTAACCTTATTTTATATGACGTTGCAGGGGAGACGTTGTACCGAAAGATGTAAATGCAGCCATTGCCACTATTAAAACGAAAAGAACCATTCAGTTTGTCGACTGGTGTCCAACTGGATTCAAGGTAACATTCCATGTTAATTATTTAAACTAAGTTCTTTCCTTTATTTTCACACCTATAAAGTACTTCTCTTGAGACATTATTTGTGTGGAGACTAACGAGAATTTGGTTTACGATGAAATGGTCATACCTTGTATAGTGCGCCGATGGTGCAAATCAAAATTGCCACATCAAAAGTTTAAAAAAATATGTCACACCATCATCAAAATTTCTACAGCCTCAAGGAGGTACATCTACCGAGGAGCTTCATAATGTTAGCATTTTTCATTGATAAAAAACGTAAACTTCACAACGCTGTTTTGCCAAAATGGGCTTTGAACTCAAGCTAAAACTTTCACTGAAAGATTTTCTCATCATGATGTTTCATTTAGGCCACATTTGAACAAAATCCTCTCACTCCCTCCAAAAAAGGCACAAAACCCCTTTTGACCCAATTTGGACGTATTAATGCTAAATGAAAGTATATGCAAGTGGAAACATAGGGTGTGCTCGTTAGTGCTCGGGCCATAAGAATGAATGGGAATTTTAAAGCACCAGTGACGTCAGCGGCAACGAAGCCGTCTCCATTGTCGTTCTTGCTCGAATTTAACTCATGAGTCCTGTCCACAACGCTCTTGTTACATGTCCATGGCTCACGAGTCAGCGCTCATTCTTTTTGATTTAATGTCAAATCTCGCTTTTCCACACTCTCAACAGGAACTATATCCACTTTTAAATTGTTTCTAATCCAGCTCACCACTAGCACACCCCATCTTTCCACTTGCACATAGATCCTTTTAGCGCATAAATATTTCCATTTGACAGGGTCTTTAGTGGTGAAGTAAATCTAAATGATAAGGTATCAAGAGGCGTTGAGGGGAAATCCATTAAACGTTGAAGATGGATTATATATGGACGTATTTATGCGAAAAGGAGATATGTGGAAGTGGAAAGATGGGGTGTGCTCGTTAGTGGTCGGGCCATAAGAATGAATGGGGAATATAAAGCGCCAGTGACGTCAGCGGCAATGAAAACGCGGAGGCACGACGGGGGATCGTCGTCGTTGGTCATTAACTCATGAGCCCTGTCCACAACGCTCTCTTGCCATGCCCGCGGCTCATGAGTTAGCATATTTTGGCGCTTAGCTCCTTTTGATTTAATGTCAAATCCCGCTTATCAATTTTCTCAAAAGGAGCTATATCCACTTTTACACTGTTTCTTATGACCCAACTAACGAGCACACCCCATCTTTCCACTTGCACATATCTCCTTTTAGCATAAATACGTCCATATGTAGACAGACCTTGGAACAAAATCCTTTCGTTTCCCCCCTAAAAAGTTCACAAGAGGACCTTTTTCTAACAGGCTCTTTCACACTATTTCTAGGTGGGTATCAATTACCAGCCACCGACCGTGGTGCCAGGCGGTGACCTGGCCAAAGTTCAGCGAGCCGTATGCATGCTGTCCAACACGACGGCCATCGCCGAGGCGTGGGCCCGTCTCGATCACAAATTCGACCTCATGTACGCCAAGAGGGCCTTCGTCCATTGGTACGTTGGGGAAGGCATGGAAGAGGGAGAGTTCTCGGAGGCCAGGGAGGACTTGGCCGCCCTCGAAAAGGACTACGAGGAGGTCGCAACCGATTCCGCCGATGCTGAGGTCGAGGATGGAGATGAGTACTAACTCAAAAATACTCCTGCCACAATTAGGTCAAAGAAAATCATCCCTCGAAGTAATGCAGAATGTCAACCTGAATTTATTCCTTTGTGAATTACAGTGGATCCTCAGCTTTTAGTTTCGCGTATTTCGAATCATATGCCTAAAAAAACACTCAAAAATCTCAAAAACCGACCCTTTGGTAAAAAAAAAAAATTACTTTGGTAAAAATTGAAAGTCTATGAGTTCAAAAAACTGGAAATGCCGGAGGTATCTATAAAAATTTACCAACGCAGTTGCCAGTCTTAGAAATAAATCTCTTCAAACTCTCATAACATCAGTAATAAGGCTTAGTTATGACTGGAAACTTTGATTCAACCTTCTGAAGAGTCTTCGGTGATGTTAAACGTATGAAAACATGAAAATGAATATTTCGCTTTTCTCCAAACCGGATTTTGTGCTTTATGAACTGAACAATTTGAGTTTCCATCTTAAGAAAATTTTGCTCCGCTGCGACTACATTTTGTACATTTTAGCCATTACAACTCCCTTCTCTCCATGTAAAATCGAAATGTTAGTCTATAGACCAATCATTCGGGAAGGGTCATAAGAAAAGTGAATTTTAAAAGCATTTAAATAAGCTCAAATGCACTGTTTTGAATTTTTAACCAATTTTGACGTGGTCTTATCGATGATCAGTGGAAGACCGCCCTTTGACTACATATATTGACCATTTGATGTTTCCAAAATAATCCCCGTGAAATTTTCAATTTGAAATCCATTGATCCTACCCAGAATGCATTTCACTAAAGCTGAGAATCCACCTTAATAAGGTTCCTTAAAAGTTCACAGCTGTTTTTAAAGTGTTTATCCGATAAGGGCATCCAATGCGAAGTTTCACTCTGGTGATAGCTGATGTTTTGCATATTCATAGTTTTATATTTACCTTTTCTATCCTCATGTATAAATACTTCAAGCAAACTTACAGAATGAAAAAAGTGATAAAATACCAAGTCAACTTTTTTGAAAGATATTGGTAAACATATTCAAACTTTTTTTTTGCAATTTTGTGAGTTTCGTTCAAAGTACTGGCTAAATTTCTCTACGATTATAATTTTACCTAATGAGTCTAGTGATAATAACAGGAAGCAATAAAGTAGCAAATTTTAGATCTTTGTGACGTTAGCACAAAATAACCCTCCTTGCTTCCGGGGTTTAGATAATGAGTGATGATTAGGAGAAATACTTAACTGTGTGAACAAATATAACTTGAAATTATCCGAATTGCTTCTAATTACGACATCCTTAACATATATTAATATCGTTACACGGGGAATACGCTGAAAACTAGAGCACTAAAACGTAATAAAAATTTAAAATTAGGTCGTTTATTCCTTTATTTTTCGATTAATATTATTCTTGTGAAGAGGATTATTGGCGTAGTTTTTCCTAAAAATGAGGACTTAAGGAAATCCTCCACTTTTTCTTCCCCAGGACAACACAATAATTTTTTATGCATGCTGATTTGTAGTTTTTTTCACGAACGTTATTTTAGAGATAAATATTACACAATCAGCTGTGTTTGTTGGAAAGGTTTTTTTTTGTTTTAATTAGAGTAGCTATACACTAAGTAAGTTAGTAAGTTTTATTTACCTAGTTACTATAGCCTTAGCCGATGACAGGAGCATCGGTAATTAATATTAGTAGTTTTTTATTTTTTATTGCGCGTTACTGGGCACCTTTCTTTCCTGAGGACATGATGATAATAACAATAGGTAATGATAATTACTAATTTTTTATCGATAATGTAAATTATTAGGATTCTGGAATTGTTATTTCAAAAATATTTCAACTATAGCATTAGCAATTTCATCAAATGTCTCGTCGCTTTCGATACTCTCGTTTTTATTTTCATAATTGTTTTCTGTTTGACTGTCATTTTATCTAATAATTTTTATCCACCTTTACGTATTACTTATTTTCTTTTTCTCGTAAAATCACTTTAAATTAGATATTTCTTAAGTGAGAAATATAATTTTCAATGTGTTTTTTCAATACGTAAGCTATATTCAATGACATACGTAAATATAAATTTCCGGATTGACTGATTTTTTGTTTTAACTATGACAAATGAAATCGTTGTACACCACAAAAACATAATGCAGATACACTTTAAAATACATAGGTCAGCAAATAAGAGATTATGATGTGCGTGTATCTTTGAAAGGAAATTGCTGATAATGTTACACACGCATTTACCATTTCTCTAGGCAAAATTCCATAACCTCTTTTCACTTTAACTACTTTGATTATATTTATTTTCAATTTGTTACTTTTCTAGAGAAAATAAAACCACATTTTTAACCAATGTTGTGATATAATTTATTAATATTTGTTTTGTAATGCAAGGAAGTTTCATACAGATATCAGACTGAATAGTATTGTGAGTCAAAAGGCACCTATCTCCATTTCAGTTATTTCTATACCCTAAAAGAGAATAACGTGTTTTTCTAATTCATAACAATGTAATTTGCAATTTTTGGAACTCTATTTCTCATGACCGTTGCTATTGTCAGTTACAGAGGACTACCAGTTTTGTCAATACACATGGAAATGTTATTGAAGATCTCCAAAAAGCCAATAATAAGATATTACGAAGAGTAAATCAAATATCAGATGGCTCTGCTCTGAGGCATTGACGCGTTGTTAAAAATATAGAAGTTCACTTCTTTGCTACTCCTGGAATTTTGTGACCGTCCCATCAAGTGCGTCTTAAATAACGTAGTCCAAATCAATCAGAGTTAAATAAATCTTAGTTAATTTTCTCCTCGCGATCAGGGACCGTTCATAAAATACATAACGTTCTAAGGAGCTGGGAGGGGGCCGAGGAGAACCTTACGTCATTTTATTTTTACATGTTCAAGTATGGGAACTTGAGTTAAAAAGGCATTATGAGTGGGAAAAAAGGAGGAGGAGGTTGAAAAGTCTGAAATTTAGCGTTACGTATTTCATGAACGGACCTTCAAGATGGCCTCTTCTCACCTGAGATTTACTCTTCCCATGCATTTACAGTTCCATCGAGTGTACTGTATTTTACTAATGTCCAGAGTCATTTATTCTGGCTCTCAATAGTTTACGCACTACTCCTTTTTTGAGCACGGAATTATTCAACTTCGAGTATAAACGACCCATATCCAACAGTGTGTTCTAGCGGGTTGATTATTTAAATTGATAGACAAAGCTTTGGACACAGCAGACAAAGAAAAAACGAAGCGATCCCATTGTTGAAACGCGTGGTTGTTACAGGAAAGGGGACAATGATTCGGGCTGCAAATGACTAGAGAGTCATTAGTGGGTCGGTTTACTACTTACTTCCTTCCTCCATTGCAACCGACTGCTTCTATCAATGGGATCGCTCCATTTCCCTATGTTGTCTTTGTCTATCATTTTGTCTGCCAATCTCAATAACCAGCCCGCTGATCACCATAGTGACGCTGACTTTTCCACAATGATTCAGATTCCTAAGAATTTAAAAGTAGAGTCTTGAGCTAAATGGCAATATTGCCTGCCTCAATCGGAAGTGGGGCTCTGCTCTTCCTTTTCCTTCGAATCATGCTGCTTCGATAGACTTCCGCTCTGAGAGACGCTCGCAAGGAGCTTCCGTCCGACTGCGAGTCGTGGCTTCGCTTCAAGTTACTCGTTTTCCGTGGCCAGTCGTCTTCACCGTCCGAGGACCTAATGAACATGGAATATTTGAATATTTTTGGAATTTTTCATAGTTATTTTTGATCAAGAAAAATGCTAGGATTTGCGCCAACAAGAGTGCAGAATTAAAATTGTACTACATTTTGCAACTGGGGACCGCAAATTGTTGGCTCATCTCAGAAACAACACATCTCGGCTTGCGACGTCGCAGATTTCCTGTCATACTTCAATTTTTAAATAAAGCACTATTCAACATCAATTCATGAAATCTTCCCATATTTTTCTGCCTTGTGCGAAGTAAATTCTGAAGAAAAAAGGAATGATGTTGATTTTGTTCTCCTTCCAAAGAACAACATAGAAGTGGAAAAATTCTAAGCCCCGCAAACGAGATATGTAGTTTGGGAGTTTTACCGTCAATATGAGGGACTGGAAAGACAATACGCAGAAGTGCAGTTTTTACTATTTCGAGAAATACGCGTTTGAAATTTCGAAATTACATGGATCCTTATGGCGGAGAGAAAGTTCAAACCGACTTTTTGATGTTTAAAAATTGGAATTTGGGAGCAAATTCTCCACAGAATATGCATTAATACTAGATTTACTTGAAATCATTAATATCTCAATTTTTTCAAAAACTGCCCTTTAGCGCTTTTTCCTCCAAGCCCCTCATAAGTACTCTTAGTTTCCTTAAGGAAATAGGTGCTTTTGTGAGTGAGTCAGAGACTGTAATTCCTAATTGCATAATGTTAACCAATTGTAACTGATCCCATGGATAACCAATTAATTATTCATCATGTACGAGACTTGCGGTGAAGTTATTCCAAAAACGATGATACGGAGACTTATTACATTTATTTTTGTGACCTAAAAATCTAGCTTGTCCCTACCAGAGGGAAATTTTTACAAACAATGCAAACCCTTGAGATAGTCTTCGATTTCATCCCTGAAATGAGATGAGTTATTTCAACAATTCTTTCAACAAGTCAGAGTAAGGCGATCGACTTTAAAAACTTACCGACTGAGGCAAGGAAATTCGAGGAAAACCTGATCTTTTCCAAATTCTTCTCCATCTGCTAACGTTTGTGGCAGATCCTTGTTCAAAGTCTCTGGCAGCAAGAGAGCCAGAAATCCACCGACTATGCCGAACACACCCAGAACGAGGAACGGCAGGGTGGGGCTTAACACACCCTAAAAAATCATAGTATTTTTTATTGACATCGACCATTTTTTTAAATTAATAATGATGAAAAACTTCCACTAAAATTCACTTCGACTGACGCAGTGCCGTAAACGGCCGAAATTCTAGGTCTGAGAATTTTAATCAAGTTTTAGAATTGCTGCAGTGTTTAAACATCGTCCGAGTCTCTGAATCGTTGCAATTGAGATACATATTTACCCTTTAATTGTGCTAGAAACCGGACAGGGACCATCAGAGGAACTGACATGGGGTCCTAGTTTTGCGGCGATTTTAGCGTCGCGCAAGCCAGGGAAGGGAGCGCAGTCGAATGTCGAGTCATCTTCACAGTGTGACGCGCCTTTAAACCAGTTGGCGGCAATGTGCCTATCCTTTACCCATAGCCGTAGTCGAATAGTTAACCAAATAACTCTCGCATTGCGTTTGGTGCAATGCGAGAAGTATTCATACAGTCTAGTAGGCGCCAATGTGCGTTTGATGCCGACCGTACTCTTTGGCGCAATGCCTGAAGTATTCCTTCAGTCTTGCAGGCGCTGATATGAGTTTGATACCGACCGCACCGTGTTTGGCGCGATTATTTACGTTGAGATAATCGCGGCATCGAACAATGGGGCTTTAAAGGCCCATGATGATGATGATGATGATGATGATGATGATGATGATGATAATGATAATGATGATTACAATTTGTGGAATGGAAAGTCTGGAGTACATCTTGTAAATCTCTAATTATGAGCACTTTTGCGTTAAGAAAAATGGGTTATTTTTTAAAATTACCAAATAAACGATGAACGGTGATAGTATGCTGGCAACGTATCCCATGATATGAATGAAAGCGACCCCTTGAGCCCTGACTACCGTGGGCAGAAGTTCAGCGGCATATTGGAGTCCCACGCTGTAACTAATGTTCACACTGAACCGACCAAGAACTGCCAGACTAGCTGAAACCGTCCCTAAAATACATTGGCATACAATTAAAAATCATATACTCAAGAGCATTAAATGAGGATGTAAAATTGCGCCAACATCTAAACTATGTTGCATAATTTTTATCTTAAAACAAACGCTCACACTTTAATTTTTCTCGGCAAATCGCCGGATGCAGAAGGGGGTTTTTATTGAGATTTTAACACAGTGAGCTTGTTTAGTAATTTTCAGTTCTTGCATTTTTGAAAATAAAAGGTGTTCTTTTGAATAATATTAGCCCACGAAGAATGCTAGCTTTTCGTGCGATTATAATGTGATAAACAAATTCGGAAAAATTCATGTGGAGTAAAATCACGCCTTACTTTCGAGAAATGCAAGCATTAATGATGACCAAGAAGCTCATTGGAAGGAAAATGAGGCAATTCTACGAGTACGCCTGATTTTTTTAATTCCTCAAAACAAATTAAAAAAAAATCACAAAGAGAAATTCTGTCGATGAGCTTCCCAAATTAATTATACAGTAGAACGCAAGAAGTCTGCAACATCGTAAATTTCGATACTAATTTTCACATTTTAGCCATCAATATTAAACATTTTAGACTTGGTTATTGCCATAAAACTCATGGAATAGAGATTCTGACTTGAGTCTTTTTTTGCAAGCTTGCACCGTATTGCTTCCGTACTAAGGTAAAACGACATCTGAACCTGCTAGAGTAGCCAAATTTCCTCCGATGAAATGTTCATTTTTTAGAACCCTAGCGTAAATATTACCTTGCGGTGAGCTAACCATCACCTTGCGGCAAGGTATCGGCCTATCCACCCTCACCGAGCCCTATCCGAGCCCTCGCCGGGTCAGTTCGTGGAACTTAACGACTGGGAATAATTATGCATGGCAACGCTGGAGACGAAAATCGTACCCAACACGGGGTATTTCCCGATGCAATGTCGCCTTTTTCGCGCCCTGCGTCTGGATTTGGGTCTACAGTGTTGTCATACGGTTTTAATCCCGGTCGTCGAGTTCCTTGAACTGGCTTGGCGAGGGCTCGGATAGGGCTCGGAGAGGATGGATAGGCCGATACCTTGCCGCAAGGTGATGGTTAGCTCACCGCAAGGTAATATTTACGCTAGGGAAGAGTTGTAAATATTTTCTCTTGAGATATTTGGTTAATTTAGATCTGGATGCAAATAAAATTCTCTGATAAATTGGAGGGAACATATTCATAAATTTGCGTATGAATTCATATTTTAACCAAGGAAATTTGGCAATTCCCAAAGGCTCATACGACGTTTTTCCTTGGCATGGCAAAATGGAAGCAAAATACGGATCCAGAGTCTGCTCACGCTTGACTGACAGTTGGAACAATCAGAGCATCAGCATGGCCTCTTGCTCCTTAACGCCCCTCCCCTCGGTGACGTCAATGTCCATGGTCGGCAAAAGAACACCGATCTAGGGAAATTCCATTGGATAGAACGGAACCAACAGAGCAAGGCGAGATTTGGAGATTTTGGCGGACTATTCCTCGGCTGACAGTCGAATAAGTTGAGTTGCTGTCGACTCTTGTTTGTATTGGGTTGAAATCCGTGTGGAGGTTGCCGGTTGAAGGTATTCGTCTTGTCCCGAACGAAGGAACGTAACCTTATCCCAAGGTTGCAAAATTGACTCCAAACAATTAACGCATCTAAATCTTCACTGAAAAAAAATTTCGGTGAATTCAAACTAGTTAGGAGCGTATGGAACCAGGTTATGTTCGGTACACACAACCGAATTATTTGGTCTGTTCAATCAAACTGCTCGATCCGCTGAACCAAACCAGAACAATCCCATGACTCGGCTCAGCGGACCGAACAGTTTGGTTAAACAGATTGAATAATTCGGTTGTTTGTACCAAACAAAACCTGGCTGCATATGCTCCTATGTAGTTCAAAACCGAACTTTTTTTTCAGTGATATCTCTTTTTGTCTATGTATCATAATACGTCACCAGTCCTACACCACTCCATGCACATTCGATTGTTTTTCAAAACTTAAATGTAGGTATGATCGGACTGTTAGAAGCTATCAATTTATTCTGCTAAGGGACTAAAATAGTTATAGCGTCTAAAACTTACCGAAAGACACGGCAGAGGCCAATAGAGAAAACACTCCACCTAGAACCATGGATAGACAAGAGATCCACCGCCGCCCAAACCTGTCTAAAGTAAGAGTGAGAAGAATGTCAGCTGGTAATTCTGTTGCACAAACTACGGTGAATGTGATGAAGAGATCCAGACCGAAATTTGAAATATTCCTCACATGACCGTCAAATACAAGAGATGTGAGCATCCTGTTTGCAAATACGAAAAATATTATCATTGAATTCTGAATGTGTAAGCGCACAAAGAAGTGAAGAAGTGAGTGAAGCGAGGGAGCCTTCAATTTTTGAACATGCAACACGCACATCTGTGAAAATGCAATCCGCATTTTCAATATTTAACTCCGTGTTTTTACCACCCTCTGATGGCACACATCATCTTCAATAAATACACGAAACGGACGGCGAAAGATGCTAAAATGACTAAAATTATTAAAAATTATTAAAACTCACCTGTACATAGAATAAATAAAATTGGACCGATTTCGAAGGCTTTCCTTCATTTTCAGCGAAAACCGACTGAACACTTGCGAGGCTTGGAGCTAGGACAAGGCGCATAAGTGCAGTTTTTGTTATTTCGAGAAAAAACGTGTTTAAAGTCTCTAAATTATGTAATGTCTTATGGCGGAGAAAAAGTTCAAACTCATATTTTGATGCTTAAAAAATGGGCTCTACCGGTGAATTTTTCACAGACTTCATTTCATACCTAGATTTTGTTGAAATCACTAATATCTCCACCGAAAAAAAAATTGAAGTTGAATTAACATTGTGAATGTAAAAAAAGTGTGCGAGAACTCACAAAATGCTAAATTACCCGCTACGGCAGTTAGTTTTACATCTTGACATTGATAAAATTACTGCTGTAGGAGTTATTTCAGCATTTTTAAAGTTTTCGCACATTTTTTTTACATCCAAAATGTTAAATCAACTTCACTTTTTTTTCGGTGTCAATTTGTTCCCAAACCGTACTCATGCACCTTGTCTTCAAAGCCCCTCACTTGAAAAATCATGTGAAATACTAAACAATTTCGGTTTGCTATCGTATTGCATTTTATATAAGAGGTAACTCTGTAAGAAAGACTTTTCCGTACCAGATTACGATAAGTAGTAAAGTGATTTTTCGTAGATGAGGGCTTTTGAAGAGATCCAAAACGGAGTAATTTCTCCCGGTTTCTTCCTCTCTTCGAAGTCTTTCACAGCTCTCCTGGAAAAAAGAAAGGGGGAAAAATATATCCAACAATTAAATTATTACATTAAAGACGTGTCCAAAGTATCTTAATCGAATCTTATATTTTTTTGCCGTATCATGTTTTCTCATTATTTGATTTGCTGATTGTCTGTTCTTGGAAATCTTTTGACCCTAATGAATGGCTTTAAAGCAAGCTTTGAACTCAATATTTATTTAGCGAATGAAATGCGACTTACTATAAACTCTGAGTATACGAATGGCTCCACGTGTTTCCCATTCAATTTCTCGAATTTCTTTATAATATGTACTGCCTCTCCAGTCATGCCTCTCGATATCAGCCACCTATAAAAATGATATTAAATTGGTGAATTAGTGAATAAAAAACCAAATGCGCTCATTTTTAGAAAGGAAGCGATAAACTAAATAAGACGGATAAAGCATATTTTTCCGCACGTTTCAAAATAGGTTTGAGGACTAAATTACTATATTCATTCTGGAGGGATCTGTACGTTCTTTTCGGGAAACAAGTATATTTTCCGCATCATTATGTATATAATGCAAGGGTAAGGCTAATGCTGCCAGACGTTAATTACCTGCATGGATCAAAACTTAAGTCCGTACGTCACACCTTTTTTGCTCGCGGACATGACTTTTATAGATAAGAAGATTGCAGGGCTGCATGATTCTCGATAATCCTGTCTTTTTCTTTAACTAAGATATTTTGTTTGCTGATAGACTTAATATTTTAAAATTTCTCGATACATCACGATAAATTTCAATGGTGAATTTAGTAATTGCTTTTCTATCTAGTGACTCTACAGATGAAGTTCGTCTCTAAATCAATTAGGATAGTTTGATTCTTGTCTACAATAGTTTCTTCTATGATGCTCTGGTACAACTTTGCAATTATCTCCGTTACAACTGTTTGTTCTGTTACAACTTTGTTTGCTTACTTACCGAGCACTCTCAGGCACAACGAACGGAGTTAAGGCAGCAAAAAGAAGTGGCACAGAAGTAGCCACCGCAATCCATCGCCAATCACGAATAAAGTACGCAATCCACGGCAACAAGCACGACGCTAGTGTGAAAAATATGGCTATGCTCATATTAGCGACGAAAGTTCGCCATTTTGGCCCCACATATTCCAACACTGCAAGTGCAGGCACATCAGAGTTTTGGTGAAATTGAGAGAGACAGAAAGAACGAATCAAAATAATTAAGAGATGAGTATTAGAACACAACAAAATAAAAATATCGATATGCAAATCATCATAAAAAAAGCTCAATTGCGTAATGTCGAAACTTGTGAATTTTTAGAATCTACAAGAAATACTGTACGTAAATACTTTCTTTACAAATAAATGTGTGTACATCATTTCATTGTTTTCATTTTTTGTAACATGCCTATTTGAAACACACGAAAAATGTCCTATTAAGGAACATGATGGTAACGCACTGGTAGTTCGCCTGCAATATCGGGTGTAGGCAACACAAGCTCCCCCGTGGTCGAATAGTGGTATCATCGTGAAACGGCACGCTTACTCGACAAACACACAAAAAGTAACTTTTTTATAGGCTGTAACATAGCTGTATTAATGCACTAACAACTTTGTTTTTTTTTTCTATTCCACTGAATCGTCCTGATAAAAGGGCTAGAAAATAGAAAAGGTAATCTACACCGAAAAAAATAAGATGCTGACTTAACATTCTGGATGTTAAAAAGTGTGCGACGACTCACAAAACGCTAAGTTAACCGCAACAGCAATTAGCTTTACATCTTGACATTGCTGTAGTAACTGCTATGGCGGTTAACTCAGCGTGAGTTGTCGCACACTTTTTAGCATCCAAAACGTTAAGCCAGCATTCTTTTTTTCGGTGTATGGATAGACCGTTAGCGATGAATGGAACAATCAAAGAAACGTTACCTAATATGTACATCATGGTAAAGCAGTTATCAAAGGCGAAGCCGACTAGAAATCTGCAAAACGCGAAACTGATGAAGTCGTGTGAGAATGCGGTCAGAACTCCGCCGACGAAGCCGACAGCGTTGGAGCCGACCAGCGCGGCGATCCGCCCGTAGCGGTCGGCGATCCAGCCGAAGAGCAGGCCTCCTAGTATGGCACCGAAAAAAAACATTGCCTGAGCAATTGCAGGTAACGCACCTTTGTCGCACACCCAGTTTAACTGAAACCCAGATTGCACGATCCAGATAGTCTCAATCTCGTGGAATACAATGGTTTCGATTGAATGAAACCATCTAAATGAGGGGCTTGGAGGACAAGACGCATAGGAGCAGTTTTTGCTACATCGAGAAACACATGTTTGAGGCTTCGAAATTACATGGATCTTTGTGGCGATAAAATAAGTTCAAACTGACTTTTTGATGCTTAAAAATTAAAATTTGGGAGCGACTTTTTCACAGAATATGCATTAAGACTAGTTTTACCTAAAATTATTAATATCTCAATTTTTCTCAAGAACTGCACTTATGCGCCTTATCTTCCCAGCCCCTCAAATGGTGTTTAACGTGAGTAGGAAGGAATGCATGTGTTCATTTCTAGCAGTCTCCTCTAAGTACGGCTATCGTCCAACTTCTGCAGGCTGATTGTTGAAATTGGTAGACAAAGCGATAGACAACGGAGACAAAAGGGATACGGAAGGAACATACTGGAGGAATCGCGTGGTTGCAATGGATAGAGGCGGCAGATAATAGACTGACTAATGGCAACCCACGAGAGACCCTATAGATAGTCCGCCACTAACCCCCATAGTCTACAAGAAACACCAATTTCAATCGATAGGATCGCTCTTATGTCTTCTTTGTCTATAGCTTTGTCTATCAATTCCAACAAATTAACCCGCTGGTGCTCTCTACAGCATGGTCGGATCCAAAAGGGGGCGTACCTCGTGCGTTCGAAAAAAAAGGAGGGGAAAAGGGGGAGAACGAAAAAAGGAAGGAATTAAGGAAACGGGGTGGAAGGACGCTTAATTATATTCGGTGCAATTATTCATGTCGAAATTGACTCAAACTGTATATCAGATGCTTTAAAATTTCGAACATTTTCCGGGGAAGACCCCCAAACTCCCCCTTTTTGAAGTGCATGGATCCACCAATGCTCCACAGAACACAGAATAAACTATTGAACGTATTTATGCTGAAAAAACTACTTATAATGAATCAACACGGAAAAAAAAATTGCTGATTCAACAATTCAATTGCTAAAAACAGTGAGTGCAATGTTTCAACGCAGATTTTACAACAAAAAAAACGCTACTTTAACCACCCCCGTGGTTAAATTAGTTTACAATGTGGTTAAATTAGTTTACAGTGTGATTAAAGTAGCATTTGTTTGTTGTAAAATCTGCGTTGAAACGTTGCACTCACTGTTTTTAGCAATTGAATTGTTGAATCAGCAATTTTTTTTCCGAGAAAACAAAAGGAATCATGAAACACTGAATTCCTGTGTACAAAGCTCTTTTTGGTATGAATATGTCCAATTCAAAAATTTTCTATAAAAAAACAACCTATTTTTGATTTTGTTTGAAATATTCTTACTTCTTATCCATACGCAGAAACATGAAATATATCTTTAAAAAAGTCACAGGAACAATTTTTAAAATATGAGCTAACTAATCAAGCTGTAAACTGTGATGTAAAAACACGATTTGTAGTAGGTATATCGTATCATTTCTATTTACCTGTGCTGCGATTGAAGCGTAGGGTATTTCAGTAAAATTGTAATCCCATCCGTGTCGACACCCAACCACGGGCCAGGATGGATCGGCCTCCTGTTTCCCGGATGCCAAAAGTTCATTGTAATTGACGTTGAACATGGAGCAACGATCGTATTCTCCTCCTGACTTCGGAATACTTAACTTCTTCCTGCAAAACATGTTAGAATGAAGCTCAGTAAGTGATTTACAGTCAATAGTTCTTCGCTTAATATGAAAACTTAGCACAGTCGAGCTGCGTTCACAAGAGCTCTTTGTCGAATCAAAAGACTCAAACGCGCGGTAAGAAAAGTAAGCCTACACGTAAAATTATTTTTCTACTTTTCTGTACTAAGGGGGTGGGTGTGATATGCGTGAAGGAAGTTCAGATTTGGAGCCAATGAAAATTCAAGTCATATCATCATATTCTTCACTTTTAGTCCATGGTTTTATAAATTAGGACGACCTCTCTCGCAGATTTCTTCTATCTCCATGAATTGTATGTCTCTAGAGTTGATGCAAGTTAGATGCACATATTTACATCACAAGTACCACGTGGATTTTAAATTTTTACTTCACTGGAAGAAAAAACAAATTGGATCTAGAGTCCAGACTCTTAAAAACATGGACAAGAAAAAATACTCTTGATTCAATCGGATTGTTGTTTAAATCAAGAACCAAGCCTCTTGATGTGTGCGGATTTCCTTTTGATTTTAACAAAAATCTGATTGAATCAAGAGTATTTTTTCTTGTCAATGATTTCGAGAGTCTGGACTCTACATCCAATGTGTTTTTTTTTCCAGTGTTCCTAAATATTTTCGAATAAAAATTTCATTAAAATTAAAAATATTATCAAAATCGAATCAGGGTGTAATTAATGCGAAAGAGGAGCTTACTTTTGAGTTTCGGTGAAATTGGTAAGTTGAGGCACATGACACCAGTAATTCTCGGGCACAGCCGTGATGAATATTTGAGTGAAGTACACAAAAGAAACGAAAAACGAGAACGGTATCATACAAAGGAAAAGAAGTTTTTGGTATCGTCCAAACTCTCCAATGTAAGGAAGGATATCATCGAAATCAGCAATTCTTCTCCTTTCAACTGGGGGTTTTTCGAGACTTGGAATGTCGAGTCCTGGCCCGAAGCTGAAGTTACAATTCTCCAAGTATACCTTGCCAACTTTATTTTTTAATTTAGGTTTCTCGCACTCAAACATAAGTTTATTATAGTTCTCTATGATCTTCGCTTGCTCCACCAAACTACCATCAAGGGCCTCAATGCTGGATTCCAAAGAGTACGTGGATGGTTCCTCCACCAATATTGCGCTTATGCCGTCCAACGATAATCGACTAGGGACATCGATGTCATCTACCAATCCGATATCTGCATCTACTGCTAATCCAGGCTCCTGTTTCCATTTTGGGCGCATATTTCCCAAACTTTTGAGCTTTTCGGGGCTCCGGGTAACAGCGTCTGTCCTTGATGCTCCAGCTCCTGCTAAAGCATTATCTATTTGGCAGCGAAAGCATTATCTTCAGACGAGTTAAAATGTGTTGAGATCACCTGCAACAAGTTTGAAGACTCTAGAGTGGGAACATATCATGAACAAAGTCCAAAAGTTGTGATTTTTGTCGTTTTCTGACAAAGTAAAAAGGAAGTTTATCTCACGATTTCTAACTATCAATTACCTTAGCCCAGCTAGTTAGCATATAATTTGAGGGTGCTCTCATCAAATGACCTAAAACAATGTTGATCACTTTGTTACGTTCCTTTTGCAACCGTGCTTCCATTCTTCAAAGTCACGCACTACTGCTTAGTGCTCATCGTTTTTTAAAAAGCCAAATATACAGTCATATTGAGGATTTGTAAAAAAAGAAAAAAAAGAAGATATACTTAGTTAAAGACAAAAAGAAGTTGAGAAGAATAAATATAAAGCGTTTTTGGGATTTTTTGGTATATTTTGATAGACTACTCAGGCAAAGTGTAAAACCTAACGCTTACGCATTCCATTAGAAGAAAGAATTTTAGAGAAGATTTAGCAGAGCATAAATTTAAGACTTGAATGTAAAAATCGGTTTGTGAATACTACAAATTTCAATACCAATGATGAAAAATTCTCTAAAAAATTTAAACACTTTTTGAATAATGACTGCAAGTGCGATAGCTGTGATAAAGTCATGAGAGGTAATAAAAAACCGCAGAAGCTAACCACGTAAGAGGAGCCTAGCCTTTTTCATTTGTGAGACAATTTTTAAAACCATCGCAAAGTAAATTAATGATCACTGTCTCATTCTCCTCAGGGTTCATTCCATGTCACGAAATTAATCGCCCGTTAAAGGAGCAGTTAGTATTGTTCATGGATCATGGCTATATACCGTCTGCTTCCGGAGTGCTTAGTCTACAGGAAAGTAGGAAGTGACATTTCCACCCAAAATGACTGGCTTACGGTCCATTAGCTGTTCCCACGGAATCGCACTCTGCTCATTTAACGGTCCACTTTCCAAGGGCACCACGCGTTATATCTCTCTTTGCTCCTTCATCCGTAAGGCCCAGGTCTTACCCGGGGGGCTACGCTCCCTAGCCGCTATGCAGTCGAACCCTCAGAGGGCGCTTCGGGCTCTTGGTATAGGTTAGTTTATACGGTTGACTTATTTAGGAACCATATTCAATCAATAGCCGCAAAAATCATAAGGTGCCAGGTGCGGCTCCGTGTATCTTGAAGAAATTGATGATCAACGATCTTGAAGATCTCGCTAGTAATTGATGAGCCTTTTCAAATCAAATTATCTTATTTTCTCTTCCAGAGGGGGAGGGGGTACAAATCGATGGCTGAAGTGTGAAACCATTTAACTCCGTTTGCAACGTGGCAGACTTCCGGGTAAACTTTATTTATTCTTTGGAAAACTAGTCAACTTCATCCCTTGAAAACTTCCTTGTTTTCCTTTTGGATTAGCAGAATATCTCGTGAAAATTTCAAACAATAAAGTTGACTTGCTTTTCTCCGAAAAAATGAAATAGGAACAGAGCTATTTAAACACCGCAAAGCAGTTACGTAGTTACGAACACATGAAATGGGAACAGAGATATTTAAGCACCGCAATGGAAAAAAAGGGTTTTGAACTTTAACCATCGAAATTCTGCAATAGTATCTTTTGAATCAAAAACCAATAATCAAGATAGACTAATCTGCAGCTAAAATGTACTTTTTGCTAGTATATTTGTCGTTGAAAGCAGAGGAATGAAATATTTGAAGCAAATGGAGTGCTGACGCGAAAGTTAATACCCACATAGCACCCAAATTTTGCAAGTAATAATACGAAAGTAAGTAGAGAAATATTTTATTTAAATACTCATGCGTAATGAGTCGTAACTTACGAGGCGCGTCACACTTCGCTAGCAATCAATAAAAATTAAACTTCTAACAATCACTAGTCCTGTGAATTCTAATGCATGTGCTGGTTATCAATATGCGTTCTTTTAGTTTCCCGAATATTCGTTACATTGAGGTAATAGATCTACAAATTTTGCAACTGAAACTACTAATTAGTGCTCACCCATAAGGAACCTACCTACATTTGGAAACTCACACGTTGTTTGTGAAATGAGCCGAAAATTATAGTTCCTTCTTTTGCAAAATGTAGTCCTAATTTATTTTCCCTTTCTTCAGATAGCAGGCCTACGACTATTCAATGGTTCGCGCAGAGAACACCAAAGTAAATCTTTAACTTTTTTAAAGTGCACGTCCATGGCTTTTTGAAAAGTCTGCTAATTTGATCATTAGAGCGATGTATGTATACATGATATGTTCTAGCAAAAAAAAGAGGGGAAATATCCTTAAACAAATTTAAAAAAAGAGAGACCCAGACACGTTACACCATAACGCTATTGAAATTAGTCTAAACCGAAACTGCAGGATGATTAATTTTTGAGTGTATCGTGGTCGAAAGCATAAGTTTGAAATAGTGTGCCCCGAAAAAAAGAAAGAAAAAAATGTAATATTTTCATCTCGTTATCCCATCTTATCTAAACGACGTTGGGATAGTGGGGAGATGTATTAAATATAAATGGTATCAAATTGACTTGGCAACATCAAACAGGATCAGGATCAAGATCAAATCCAGCGGAGCGCAACATGGCGCTTCATTTCCCTGACTCAAGCATAACACGAGCAGCGCTGTGACAATTTGTGCGGGAGAGTTATAGGTTGATGCTGATCGAAAACTGGGGGGTTTTCTGAAGTGAATAAAGTTAAAATATATTGTTGGTCCAGAAAAGGGTTCGTTTCTGATCTTCGTAATCCGTATGTGATCCATCAATATGACATAGTTTTACCAATAGCATTTGGTGGTATCACGTGCAAGGCAGTGTAAACATGCAGAAGAATTCCATGACATTAGGTTGAATAATTGCGGATGTATTTATGCTAAAAGAAACTATGTGCAAAGGGTTTACGTCCAACACAGTTCCTTTTAGCATAAATACGTCCAATTTATAAGGTTGATCCCCTGATTCATCGGGGCAATAAAAACCAAGAAAAAAGTCCTCTTATTGCTAATCGCAGCAATTTTCAATAACGCACTGGCATTTGGTGCAGTTGCCAAATAAAATGTGCATCAACCCTGCTTGCTGAAACTAGCTTGCCTGAGAATTTTTGGCCCATCAATTATAAAAGGCTATTAGAAATTGTGTAGAAATTCGTGTGCTTTGGAAATCATTAAGTTTGACACGGAACCACCTTAATATTTACAAAACACACGTTATATTTTCCATTAATACATATTTTTTTTTCATCAATTAAAACGAGAATAATCCATACAGGATGTGCAAACATTTCAAAATCATGAGTTGAATAACGCTGACTCCGCCAGATTAAATATTAGAGCCTGATACAAAGCGGAGCGGCGACGCACAGGCGCCTACAAACCTAACAGGGATACTTCACGCATTGCGCAACGCGTGAAGTATCCCTGTTGGGTTTGTAGGCGCCAATGCGCGTTTTGCGCTGGCTGCTCACCTGCCGTACCGCAGCGTGCCACGGCGCTTGAAGCAACTATTTCACACCAGAGGTATTGCACAGTATCATTCGAAACTGAAGGCGCTCTAATATATTAGGAATGGCAGGCATCCATCAAAAGTACGGAGCTCTCCTCGCAAAATAAATCAAGATACTACGGCCCAAAATGAGAGCAGTGATCCAAAAAGTCACCAAGTCCTAGCATCCGTAATTAGTGACGTTCAGCATACACTTTATCGCCTGGCTGTGAGTTGCTTACTCGCCATCGGCTATAAAAGGCTATGAGATATTGTGTAGCTGACTATAGAAGCTATGGTATTTTGGAACACAGATTCTACTGCCAATTTTTACCAGGGCACGCATGTGTATATCACACAGTTAGGTTGATAGTTTAGTTATGTACCAAAACTATTCCAAAGAGCTATGATAACACTATTTATATAAAAAATTGGCGATTCCTCGATGCTTCGATGCAGGCACATAGGAAGAAAATTTACATGTAAAATGTAAGGCTCAACTTACCTTTTTTTTCGGTTACCGTCTTTTGTAGGGTCTCAAGTACAAGGGTTACAAGCATCCAGTCGGTAAAATCAATGCATATCGAGCTTTGCACATAAAAATTCATAAGTATAATACTTGTTTTTAAAGTAGAGACAAGGTAGAGAAAACACTGTTAAAGATTGCGGAAAATTACGAACAACCGGTCAATAGTGCCACACTGCAACTCAAGAAAAATAATTTCGCACTGAGGGTGACAATGATCATGGTAAAAAGAAGAATTACGATTTGCGAAGCAATACGGCAGGCATCGAGACGTAAGGAGGGGAAGGACGATGCCGGTGCAGTGGTAGGAGTCGATTCCTGCGTTGTCGAATGTATTTTACCTCAGTCTGTCTCCTGATGAGGCGTTCTACCTCTCAGGAAAAGAGTAGAGCAGAGCACCCATGTAGCGAGATCATTGCCACGTCTGTGCCGCTCTCTGATTGGTTCATCGTCGTAGGATCAAGAGAAGTTTGATTCAGGTAGGACGAGAGGAATGCTACCCACAGAAATAGTTTAATATTCGGCAAAAATATCCATTAGAGTTTATTCAAAACTCATAGAAAAATCTGGAAATTATATCATCCTTATCACGTTTGGAACTTCCCTGGGAAAAGTTTGAAAAATAAGGTTTCTAAGGGCGATTTTGAGTTACTTCAACCGAAAAGTTGATCGAAGTACAATTTCAAAGATAAACGATAACCATATTTTTTCACATATTCAGCGAAATCTTTCACATTTTTTGGAGGGCGCCAACGTTCCCGGCTCCCTCTAATTCCTCCCATGGCTCCAGTTGACACAGCTTCGAATGTAAATTTCCTGAAAATAGTATATTGGTCCAATTACGAGAATACAAGGGGCAGGCCCCCCGACCGCTTCGCGGGCCAACTTCCCCCTTTCAAGCGCTTCGCGCTAAAGGAGTCAATGCGTCATACAATACGCACCAGTCTTTTGATTTTATATTTCAGAGTAATAAGATATGTTAAATATCAAAGATTTTGAAGGCGCTTTGAGTGGACTTTTTCATTTTCAAGTGGCAATGGCAGTGGCAATGCAAACTGTTGCGCCCCAAATGGTTACCCAAGACAAAACGTAATCGAGATCTGAGGCGAAGTCAGCAGTGATGATCTTGTACTTACCCTGCCTAAAATCCACTTCGGCCGGAGGAAGTTCACGTGACTGAACATCAGGGTTGCCGCCTTGCCAAAATAACCGGTATCGGCGTATTGTAAAAGTGGGACTGATTGGAAAGAGATATGTAGATCTATGTTGGAAACATTTAATGAATAACTATGATAATAATGTCTATTGCTTAAAAAATTGGTTAATTAGTTTATTTTTTAACCAGGGCAGTTTTAAATATTATCTCTATCTTTCAAAGTCATCACTCTATTCGCAGTATAGAAGCAGTTGGTTTCGAACGCTTTTATTGACTGTTATTAATTCATGCTCGGATTTTATGTGCCTTAGAGCTCTACTTCGGAAATTCGTTACCATAACCTGTTGGTCAATAAACAGAATTTCAAAATTAAAATAATTATTGGACGATTTGTCTAATTGTTAGTAGATACATGAATTTGTGAAAGATGTTAAAGATTGCAGCGTTATTTTCTAAAATATGGACATATCATCTTCATAATTCAGCTGTGTCTTGTTATTCACAGTTCCTGATTTGCTCTCGTTGCGTCTATCAGCTCAGAAATTTATTTTCCAAAATGGAATCATGATCATATTCGTAAAGGCTGCTGTGATAATATGAATGCTTTCATTTGTTAAAGAATAAATTTGCGGAAAAAAGACAAAATATTTTTTTGAGACGAACAGGTGTTCGAGGAAACCGCCTTAAATTGTCGCTTCATCATCAAAAACATTTCTGGTTTTTTTACACTTACATTTTGATAAGTCATATCGACCGCAGCAAAATTTCAACGAAACATTTATTTTTTACATGAGAATGCAACGGTTGTATAGGTTCTTTTGAAAATTTTGAATCTGGTTTTTTTACACTTACATTTTGATAAGTCATATCGACCGCAGCAAAATTTCAACGAAACATTTATTTTTTACATGAGAATGCAACGGTTGTATAGGTTCTTTTGAAAATTTTGAGGCAATCAAGTTATGCCATATCATAGATAAAATTTCTTAAAATTTTGAAAATACTCTACACACTGTTCTCTTGTAAAAAAAATGGCATGATTTCGCAAAATGTTCGATGATATTAGGCTATCGCTCATGTAATTTGGCTCCATTCCAGTCCAAATATGGAGTCTATTACTAGGAAATTGACGCAACTTAAAAATGTCTAGCAAAAATGATATATGTACAAGAAAATAGATCAAATCCCCATGGCTCCCTAAATTTTTTTATCGATGGGCCTCTAAGCGAGATATGGATTAAAACACTGTGCAACCTGTTTTCTCCTCAAAGTTTCTCCTGGTAAACAAATCACACGTGAAAAGTCTTACAATCGCATCCTCTAACCAAGACTATAAATATTTATATCGGTTAAATGACAACAGTACGAATCACGTTTTTATGTATAATCTTAGTGCCATTTGATCTGTGTTAAAAATACAGTGAAAGCTCGCTCAGTCAAACTACGGTTAAGACGAAATTCCGATTAAGTCGACTTTTTTTCCGGTGCCTAGACACGTCCATAAGTTAAAGGGAGAATCGGTTAAGACGAATTGCCACTTAAGTCGAATTTACCGTCGGCCCCTACACAATTCGACTTAGCGAGCTTTCACTGTACTTGTTAGTGACTCGTTTCAGAATTAATATACAGACTTTCAAACGTAGAAATCGTTTTCTACGTAAGATTTTAAAGAGAGTATACATGATATATTTTAGTCTAATTTGAACCTTGCCATATGGCCTATTTCCATTTTTGCAGATTGTTCTTCAGATTCTCAACCACTTGTCTTGCCGTCCGCCTAAAGTGCACCACGTTTCTCACTAAATGGAAAATTACTCTACACCGATTCCAAAAACACATGCATCATTAGAGTGCAGAATATGAGGCACCTACTTCTCAATGACGATGCTGTCGAGAATCCACGCTGTCATCGGCATCATTGCCACCGTAATTAGTCCTCGCACTCTATTTGATCGGGGCTCGAACCAGGATGTCGGTACATCGCGAAATATGAAATTAATTCCAGTTCTCTCTTCAAAAAACGCGGAATCTATGAAATTTCCGGTGTACCGGCAACTCTGTGATCGACTGCTGTGTTTTGATTGCATCGTCTCCTGAGGTGCTCTCATCAATGACTAGGAGGCGATGGAGTCTCGTCGCGATATTGGGTAATTTGCTGCATACAATTACATCATAAAATATGCAACGGCCACCTTACCCTTCAATCAATCGATATCAGAGCCAAAAATCAGTGTTAATGATTTTAGAACGAGTCAAAGGTGCAATTCAAGGGCTAAGGAACAATACTACCCAGCGGGTTGATTATTGAAATTGATAGACAAAGCTATAGACAAAGAAGACATATTTGCTTTGGTTATATTATACGTAGTTTTTTCAACACGAATACGTTCAATAGTTTGTTCAGTACTCTGTGGAGCATAGGTGGATCCATGCACTTCAAAAAGGGGGGTCCGGAGGTTTTCCCCAGAAAATTTTCGAAATTTTAAAGCACCTGATATACAGTTTAAGTCAATTTTGACATGAATAATTGCACCGAATATAATTAAGCGGCCCTCCACTCTGTTTTCTTAGTTCCTTACTTCCTTCTTTCTCCCCCTTTTTCCTCCTTTTTTTCGGGCGCACGAAGGAGGAGGAGGTACGCCCCCCCCCCGTGGATCCGACCATGCTGTGGAGAGCACTAGCGGGTTGATTTCTGTAATTGTTAGACAAAACTATAGACTAAGAAGACATTGGAAGTATGGAGCGATCCTATTCGTTGAAATTTGATTGGTTCCTATGAACTCAGGGAGAAAATGATGGACTAACTTGTGGGTCTCTCGTGGGTTGCCGTTACTTAGTCTATTACCTACCACCTTTGTCTATTGCAACCACCCGCATCCACCAATAGGATACCTCCATATCCCTTTTGTCTTCTTTGTCTATTGTTTCGTCTATCAATTTCAACTTTATCTACTAATATCTACTTTAAAGTCTTTAAGGATTACTTATTGCATGCAAGGCAATATGCAGAATTTTACGGCAAGTTGCGGATTGTATGCCAGAAATGTAGGTACATCAGCCCCTCAAAAATTTTGACGACAGATCAAGCGCTACCCGGCAATGCTGTATAGCGCAGTGCTACCGCAACCACCACCGCTGTTGCGCGAGCTGCCATTCTGTCAACTTGTGGTTTTGTTATATCACTTTTCCAATCCTTCATCACAACATCAACGCTTTTCCTTAGAGGTAATAGATTTTTATTTTCTGTGACGCCATCAATGATGGTGATGGGATAGCGGAAAAGTTGCCAAGCGGAGGTGACTCTCGCAAGTTGGCAACCCTGGTTTTCCTCTATTTAACATCATTATAAATGATCGATTTTTTGTGGGGCAGTATGCTTCACCTAGAATCAATCGATATCGATTAATTTACCATTTATGCCTGTTGAAAAGTATCGATTATCAGAGTATAACGTAAAAATCGATTCTTTACCAAGGCTTCAAGGGGATAATATCGATTACCGATTATCCACGCCTTACCACTGCGTGTCGTGCTTTTCGATATATCGATTGGTATGCTATTTAAACCTGTGAAAAATGATCGAATAATCAAGTGTATCTCATGATAATAATTCATTATAACATAGTTTTAAATGGGGAAATATTGATAGCCGATGATTTACACTTCACCACTGTTGATATTGATTATTTTACATGCGTTTTCATGGGCTAAGCCCAATGCTGCCAATTTCTATGAATCGCCTTTGATGTCAAGAGATGTCTCTTCTTTTGTGCATTAAAATATGAAAAGAAGAAGGAACAAGATAAAAGATAAAAACGAAAGGATACACGGCCACCTGAAAAAATGTCCTCTTGGACTCGATTGCATTTCTATTTTTTCCGCTAAGTATTTTCAGCAAATCAAAAGTATCTGAATCAAAAGGAGCTGTTTCTTTTGTAACATGAGCCCTGATACCCATAAAAATACATGCATGGCAGGGTCCATGTAGTAAGAGACAGTAATTTTTGATTTCCGTGATTTTTTATATTTTTGAATGAGTCCAATTGAACCACCCTTTAACACGGCATCTGTCAAGTGCCCTCCCCCCCTTCCTATGCCTCCTGAAATGATAAAAGTCGAAAAAAAGCGAGATATTTAATTTTACCTCTTGTTTTTTTTGGAAGTTCATTTAAAATCATCGATTGAAAAGTGGACCAACGAATAAAACATTCTGAAACATGCGAAACATTATTTTTCTATGGGATGAGGAGATGTGTAGTCGGAGAGGTCCCAATCATTTTGAATCATTGCCTTCTGTTGGCCACGGTCATAGTGAGAAATAATTTTTTTTTTTTTTTTTTTTTTTTTTTTTTTTTTTTAAATTCTAATTATGTGTTTCTGCAGTATAAAGCTATTGAGTGTACACATTTTGGAAGTGCATTTTAAACGAGGAAAATATTACAGTGAAGGATATTATTCATCAAAGGTGATTTATTTATTATCATTTTAATTAATAACAAGGTAATCATGCTGTATTTACAGTTTACTCTATAAGTCATATCTCACAGTCAATATACGCCAATTGCATACATTTTACAAGGACTAGATTTTTAAACATTGGTTAAGGACTTTGGCTCTAAATGGCAAATAAATAAAAGAAAACAAGGACAAAGTAAACAAATAACGAATAAATATCGAACAAAAAACAGAAAATCTGCAAATGAAGCAGGTGGAATGACTAGCTAAAGAATAACGAGTATCGCATTTCAAATGTTACGGTATCATCAAGTAAATCAAACTAAATAAGTAAGCAAGTAAGTAAGTCAAATAATTAATAAAATAAGTGCATATGAGTACTTAAAATGCTTTGGACAAAAAAATTCATTGTAAATAAGCACCCTTCTATTACAGATAAAACTAGAAGTTTTCTCCTTGTTTGGAGCCGTGTTTGTAATTTTTTTCTCCTCGTTGTTCTTTTCTTTTTTCTTTAAATTTCAATTTTCACATGTGACTGAAAGCCCATTGTTTCCGACTCGTTCAAAAAGCTTCTGTAGGACCATGCTAGGAGCAAGTCTACAAAAACTCCTTCAAAATGAAACGATGCCTCCGAGATCTAACGATGCGTTATATATGTTGCCTATCTTGCATGCACTCATTTTAGCTATATTCGATATGCCGAACAGTCCATCTGAATGATGATCAGAGTGAGGTGAAGTGAGCCTCTATATTTCTGATATTAAAGTATCACATTTAGTCATACTTTTAACTTTGCCCTCTTCGTCTTAAAGAGAAAAAAAAATGAATTTCACGATGATGCTTTTGTCCGATGAAAAACGGGAGTAGAAAAGTCCAATAAAACTAAATCCACTGACCGGTTGATAATGGATATGTGCGCTAAACAAATTAATATGAGCTTTTGTTATAGAAAGCTTTTTACATAAGAAAACTGCCAAATTTTACAAAACCACTTTACGCTAACATTATGAGATCCAGAGATACGTACTATCTTGATGAAGAAATAAAAAGTTTAGCTCCTCAAAGAATGTTCAATTCGTGCAGCTTCGTAATAACAATATATACATAGTAGCAAATAAAAATTATGTAGAAGTGATGACTTGCTCTCATAATCATTTCAAAACTCTCTGATGCTTGTCGATTACGTCAGATACAAAATTGGGATGCAGGCTGTTAGGTAATATTAACAATTCTCAAAAGCTTCGTCCTTTCGCAATTTGCGAGAATTTGAAACTAATGTTATTTGTGCGCAAAAATGCATACGCAGTTTAAACTGTAAGATATTGCAATGGGGATCATTAAGGACTGAGCGGTCAGTTATAGGATTTTTCCATGGTGTACATGTCACCTAGAAGTCTCTGTATGGGAATATCACCGATGGTTTCTTTGAAAAATAGTTGCTCTACTGTGCATTGTCGTATGGAGCGTAGAGAGGGCAACATCAAAAGGAGCCGGCCAAATCTTGTTGGCTGACGGGAGTAGCGACCTCTGACATAATCTCCGAGAATGCACTGCGCCTGATCTTGAAGCATCTCTACCGGTTGCGCGTCTACCAGACCTGGTGTCTCTGTGCGAATAAAAATGTAGAAATATTAATTCTATTATTGAAAAAGCCGAAATAATCAAAGAGATGCTCCAAACTAAGTGAATTCAGAAAGAGCAAGATTATTTAAAATTAAAAAAAAAAAAAAAAAAAAAAAAACCTTAAGGAGTAAAGGGAACGATAAAATTGTATCCTGATTTCTAGATTTAGGAGTGACATCTCCACTTTTAGTCAATTTTTTTATGTATAGGAATTATGCATAGGAATTATACAAGGAGGTAAAATAGTGCGGGGTCCACAATGTTTTTCTGGAAAAAAATAGGCCAAAAAGTTCAAAAATTTCAATTGTATTCAAAAACTTTAAGCTCCAATTAGTATCAGTACAAGACTGAGGGGGAGAGTGTTCAGCTCTGGCAGATGCATTGGAATATTGGCCACGTCGAGAGATCTATATAACGTTGTGGGTCTTTTTAGATCCATCGGCAAATACTGAATTCAGATCAAAGCATTTCTGTGCACATTTTATCCAGATTTTCGGAGGATAGAAAGAGATGAGTTAATACGTCCTGAAGATGGAAGCATTTGAAATTTGATGGGAAAAGGTTGGAACAAACACCTGTGGCGTTGGAATTGAATGAGGATAAAAGGAATTAGGCTGTGCAAAATATGTAAGGAAGATGTAAAACAAGAAAAACTCCATCAAACTGTGAATAATTCCTAAAATCATAGAGCCAGAGCCTAAACGTGGGAGGTTTGAACTTCGATTGTCTCTTAATGAGCAAAAAAAACTAATTTTCTGTTTTGTACTTGAGATGGATAAAACCACTTGCATGGTAAATAGTTTTTACCTGGAGTGAAAAGAATAACAGCTTTGATGCAGCCACATTCACTTCCATCGGGTGATAGCTGCCGAAATCTGGCTAAAATTTCTTGGATGGCTTTTATTTCATTATTTACCACTTTGTCATCCTTGGGCAGTCTCTCGCGGGCCTTCTCGGAGTTAAAAAGTGGTGACAGGTCCCACGGAATCGACCACTGTGCTAGATGAAGTAAGAACAGTTCCTTCCAAGATTCTTGTAGAAGAAGTAACTGAAACAGGAATCAAAAATACGAAAATATAGAAATACAATAGTGAGATCATTATTATGTCAAAGAAGTAGGTATATTAGTTTGGATAAAAATTATAAATAGCGGATCATGGAGGAATAGTTTCGATCAAATTTTGTGTACTTGAAACTCAAAGCGGTCACTACAAAATAGTCTTAGAAAGTATTCTTTGACCTTGTTTTGGAGTCTTCAAAGGATAATGGAATATAATATCTAGACAGAAGATTTGAGATAATGTATACGAAGTCAGAGGCGGATCAAGCAAGTTCACGACACTTTTTTTCCTCCATATAAACCAGTGTTGAACAATCGATTCATGTCGTATCACCAGGCGGACCAGGCCTCCCTGAGAATTGATACATTTCCATCGGCTTAAAAGGAGAAAAAACAATTTTGCTAACGCTCTGAATCTGCGATATGCATGAAGGAGGCACTAAGTTTGGTAATTGTTTTCTTTTGACAGCTGTCAACTTCAATAAGATAGTTGCCTGAATCTGTTTCATCCGAAAAACACTGAACAAGAAATGTTTTTACTCTTTTCAACCGCTGCCTTGAGGGATTTAAGTAAAAAGAAAAAAGGGATGTTTTTAGGATTAAAAGTAAAATTTAATGCACTTGATTATAGTGTTATCTCACCTGATCCCGTTTGGACAAAGTCTGAAAGGGGGCTAAACATCTCACCCAACGTACAGCCATGAACAAGAGTCTGGCTGTGGTCTCCTGAAATCAAATAAATGTATGATTAAAGTTTTTAATGTTAGAATTTTTCCTTCAAATGGTGAGGTAGGCAAAAACAGCTACTCTAGAGCCACAATAGTTGCATTTATATCATAAGAGCCGTTGAAAGAGTCAAAGTTGATGACCTGTGACGGGCCCTCTACTTCTGTAAAGTAATTCGTTGACTATACACGCAGTTAAAATAATTTTTAGCCGATTGGGTGTTAACACAATGGGCATGCAAGACCGCGCATGCGCAACCTGCGCTCTATGACGCAACACCACAATACAAATCGTCAATCCCCCCACGAAAGAACATAATTAAATTTCAATGTCGCAAAATTTCCTCTATCTCAAATTGCATATTTACCTTGAGAATCTTGGTCATTTACAACTGAAAATTTTCCATGATATTTTCATCTGATCGCATGCACAAATCAGAAAAATTTTAGATGAAAATTGCATAGGTACTTCTTTGTAGAAAAATTTAATTGTTTGAGTCAATTTTGCAATCTTTGAGTGAAGTTGCGTCTCTTTGTCTGGGTTCTGGGAAACGACAAAATGACGGTATTTGCATTTTTGTCATTTGATTCAATGATAATAATCATTTAACTACTCATATCTTGTTTAGGATTTGATTTCCAGATTTTCCGTCGCGTGATTTATTTCTGTCGTGAAATTTTCAAGAGAAAACAAGTTACAAAGATCATTTATTCGTACTTTGTCCAAAAATTTTTTTTTTGAAAACCTGCGCTGATAATCCCCCCCCCCCCCCCCTCAGTCTTGTGCTGGTGCTCATTAGAGCTCAAAAAAATGTTTGACTCTAATTGAGAATTTTTTTAACTTTTCGGCTTTGTTTCCCCCGCGAAATGGTATGGACCCAGCACCATTTCACCACCTAGTTCATACCTTGTCCAGAAGCCCATTAATCTAATGTCTCCAAATTTTTCGAGGAAAAAAGCCCTAGCTTTCATTCAGAATAAGTACTGTATTAGAAGGAAGTTGCTAAGCTCTGAATCTGTACATAGATTTTTTTCTTCATCACGGCAGCAGATGTGACAGGAACTCAACTAAAACCAAAAAATATAAAACAAGTCGAGGAAAGCTAGAATATTTAAGTAATATGCAGACGCCATTTTATTTGAGTGTGCAGCCTCGATTGGTTTGATCGCGAGCCAATAGGGCGGGGATCATAACATACATAAGAGCGACTGGTAAAAGTCCCGAAGTCAACGCCCCCCTCCGTGCTCGTGGAGCTGATTAGCAGTCCCTCCAGGGACCCCCTCACCCCTCCTCCCTCCCGACGTGCGACGGCGGCGCGCGTCGAACCCTCGATTGTGCAGACGCGAGAATGAGCTCCGCGTCTCCGCCCCAAATTCCCCACCACCAGTAAAGTTAACCACTAGTGCTCTCCAGCGCTCCAGCATTTTAATTTCGCCCATGCCTTTCTAGCGCAGGAGCAGTGGCGTGACGTGCTTTGCGATTTGGACCGCGTTAAGCAGAAAGCAACCAAGCCACATCAGCTATTGTCAAATTTAATGCGCCAGTTGAGTTGGTAACAGATTCGTTTTTTGATGCTTGATTTTTGCAGAGTAGCTAAAAATAATAAGATCTGTTCAAACAGCAACTTTCTACGTTCACTGGAAAAAAAACACATTGGATCTAGAGTCCAGACTCTTAAAAACATCGACAAGAAAAAGTACTCTTGATTCAATCAGAATCTAGCTTAAATCAAGAACCAAACCTCTTAATTTAAGCGGATTTCGTTTTGATTCAAGCAAAAACCCGATTAAATCAATAGTATTTTTTATTGTCAATGCTTTCAAGAGTCTGCACTCTAGATCCTTTTTCCAGTGTTCCATATAAACCAAGATATCGCCTTTTGAAAAGTCGGGTTTTTGACGTCATCCACCGATTGTGCATGACATGGTATGTACCACCGCGGTGGATGACGTCATGAATCCGCGTTCGAGGCGTTCATAAATTGCTCAAGGCGCTATATCACGATTAACATTCAGCGTAGGAAGTTGCTGTCTGGACAGATCTTATTGTTTTTAGCTAATCTACAAGAATCAAGCATCAAAACACGATTTTGTGACCAGCGCAGCTGACCTATTGGCCTATTCAATTTTTTACATAAAAACGCTTGTGAGGGCTTTTGTGCAAATTTCAGTGAATTTTTTGCGTAGTGCGAAGCAAATTCATTAAAAATTTCAACAAAAATCCGCACAAACGTTCTCTCGTAGAAAATTACATTATTCCAATTGCTGTATAAGTAGGTAAATATTCCAATTTCTGTATAAGTCGATGAATAAGTTTAAAAAAAGAAAAAAAGAAAAAGAAAATTACATAGTTCTGTTAAATTTGGCATTAATTATGATAATAAATTTTGGTTTTACCGTTCTGCATATCATCGTGTCAAAAATCATTTAAAAAAATACGGAAAATGTTACACATCTTCTACAGCTTATTCAAAAATTCAAGGAAAAAGCTTAGGAAATAAAAATCAAAGAATCGACGAATTCTATAGTTTTAGCTGCTCAGTAACCTATCTAAGTTTGACGATCTTCAAAAATGTAAGACGAACATACTATATTTGCATGAATTTTGCCATTTTGCAGCGTAAGAGGACCATACCAGCTTCTAATGAAATACGTATCCAAGTATGTTTAAATACGCGAACCTCCCTTTAGTGTTACTTTGCTTTTTCTAATTTTCTACCCTCCGCATTTTTAAAGGAAAACATGGCGCTCGAATAATGTCCTCCAAGAAAAACCTTCCTCATAACAGGTACTCCCACAGCCTATAAAAAAATACTGCGGGCGAAGCTTTGTTCAAAAGAGGACTTTGAATTGGCCTCTTTTAATCTACGGACTGTTTGCTTCTTGCCATAAGGTGTAATTACGTGCTCTGAAATGACATCTCGCGTTATAAATTGGTTTGCCTCCCTCGCCTCTTGTCCTTCATCCCTCGGTCCCTCTTTTCTCCCAACTTCCCGTCCCATCTCCCAACCTCCCGGCGCAAAGAGGTTTCATGGACCATTTAATGCGCTTCCGCACCGCGTAAATCCTCAGAAGTTCGCTTTGACAAGAGCTTTTTACGGTTCACCTTTAATTTCACAAAAAGTTTCACCACCGCTCCTCGCTGGGCCCGTCTAAGTGCTCAGAATGCCTTATTCTACCTCGGTTACGAAATGTCTTTCTTTCATCATTAGTTGAGTCGCATTCTAAAGGGCAAAAGTTCCAATCTTATCGGGATGAAAAGGTGTATTTCTGTGGCTGTACATTCGTTGAGAGCCTCAACTATTTCCCGTTCTATTGGGCTCTAATAAATGTTTATAAGTTTAACTGTCTATTTTTTTTATGTGTGAAAATGGGGACGATGTTCGCAATTAAAAATTTAATATATAAAAAAGAAAGTGAGCTTTTAAAATTCCCATTCCTATAAACTTATTTTTACAAATATCGAGAAATACAATTAATGAAGGAATCGTCGAGACCCAGGCAAAACTGTAACAACGATCGATCGCGAGTATAGCAGCGGTAATGTCCTCTAGTCATAATGTAATTTTAGGAGAAAACTCTAATCGTTGAAAGAGAAATTTAAAAGTAGCTTGCTTATAACCATAACACGTGACTGTAATGAGGCACAGAAAAGAAACCGCCTTAAAATGAGGAAAACCTTAAATAAACGAGTTGTGCGAAGAAAAGAGCCAAAAGTCAAATTTCAAGAAAACAAAAAAATTGATTGCTTTGACAAATTTTCGTTTTTTTATTCGATAAAATAAAATGGTGTTCTGCATATCATCTAAGATAAAACCATGGTCACACGAGCACTCGAGCAGGTTTGTAGAGATTGAGCAAGAATAACATGTTTTAAATTTTGAGGGTGCGCCCTTCTTCCACAAAACCGCTCAGCACTCCAATTTTTAGCAGCGTTATGACACTCAAACAGCAGGCATGTTCAATTGCTCAATGACAATAATTTTTGCCCTTGCCCATTATAATTAGAAATCACCTTTTGCTAGGAAAAGTGGCTCGGCATTTACGTTTTTTCCCCAATAAAGCAGATATTTCAACGTTAAAAAAGACGTTTGAAGAGCAATTCGGGTAAAATCACTCTCTGTAGTATGATGCGTTTACTCAAAGAACAGTATTCCGTCAAAAACTTAATTCCTGAAATTTCGGTGGTTATTCCCATCTCTATAGATAGCCCATTCAAATATAAAGAAAATACATTTTGAAGCAGTGACAAGAAGCTATAACAATGTAAGTCTTTCGTGGATTCACAATTAGGGACAAAAAGAAACCCTCCACTAGCCCATTGGCGACGGTTGGAAACTTTTACTTTCGTGGATTCAACACATCCTTAAGGGCAATTTGAATACATTTTGCAATAAGGAACCACGATCACTGACTCTTCCATAAAAGCACATTTCTGCATAGGAAAACAAATGGCACATATGCTGTTTCTAAAATGAGCCAGAAATAGTGGTTTCTTATCGCAAAACGTGGTCCAATTATATGGGAGCAACAGCCATCTTACCCTTCCGGTGGATGATGAGTTTCAGCCAAACAAGTCCGGTATGATTTCAGAACGGAATACTCAACACGTTGTTCAGCACCCACCCAGTAGGTGGGCCAACAGTTGAATATGAGAGTCTCAAAAGTAAAACCTTCCACCATTGCCAAGATACCAACAAAGGGTCTCCCTTTGTCTCTGTTCACAATCGACGTGGCAAGTGTGTTGGAGAAGGGGTGAGTTCGAGAGGGATGATGGGGATATACTGACCTGCAAAACTTCCCAGCTGGGCGAGAGGGCTAGAGGAAGACCCGGGCTCGGGGAGGTGCTCGTAATTTGCGTCGTGCCCAGCCTCTCCGACACGTCACTCAGTTTGTTATTCCAGATTAGCTCCTGTAATCAAATACCCACTTAAGCATTCAAAAATAAATTGCAACCACTCGCCCCGAACGTATGCTTCCTCCTGTTTTCGCCCGACCACCGCTCTGGTAATGGGTTATGAGTTTATTTTAGTTGTTTTTTCATCTCGCTCAACAGTGCTTCGTGGGATCTCGACCACCCGATCTATACCATCCCTCTTTTTAAAAAGCTATTGCGAGTGTTTAAATACTCCATGAGTTTGAATAAAAAGCTGCGAGCTTTTACGACCATTTGTTCCATTTTCTTATCGAGTATACATATACTGACTTTAGTAATCACTGTTCCATAGAGATTTCTATCGGGGGAGGCTTTTGGAACCTTTGGAATTGCAGATTTTTCGAAAATAGTTTTTGTATTTTTAGTGAACACAAAATAAATGCATACAAATTTTTGAAAATGATAACATGCTGACTTAAGTAATCACTGTTCCATGGAGATTTCTATCGGGGAAAGCTTTTGGAGTCTTTAAAATTGCAGCTTTTTCAAATATAGTTTTTGTATTTTTGGTAAAAACAAAATAAATACACGCATAAACAATTGTGAACATGATAACATCGATTGCTAGAAAGCAAAACCACGTAGCTCTGTTTGCGACATTGCAGACTTCCTGTCGTGCTATTTTTGTTTTATTTGAAACAAGTCAACGTAGTTTTTTTTTTTAAAAAGCTTTTTGATTTTCCTCATAAAGTTGGCTTGTTTTGAATAATATAAAACACGAGCGGGAATTTTGAAACATCGCATTCATATGACTAGCGCAATTGACTTATTATAATAACCTTGACCCGATAAAATCAGGAAATTGTCATATGAATGGCCTCTATTTGTACACTTATTATTAAAAGACTCATTTCCTTTATTCAGTTTGATTAAATACCCAAACCGCTCTATTTTTGTGCAACGACCACGTGTGAATGCAATAAGTGAGAAGTGATACACTTTGCTATTGTAAGCAGAAAAAATGGAAGGCGCTCGGCTTTTTCAATGGCTAGGTTTAGATACAACTATTCGTGTTTTTAGGATGTCCATGTTGCATACACAAAAATTGCAGGCGCTCTAATTTTCTAAAGCACACCGTCTGGCTGCGGTTGATAGTTCTCAAGAGTTTCCTACGTTGCATTTTACAATCGCGTCTTTATCATGCGGATTGCGGAGTTCGGATGAGCCATGTTGCATCACTCAACGTTGTCAAATGATGCGAATTTTCCACCAAAAACATGTCCACGAAACTAGGCGTTTGGATGGATCTTATTAATTTTTGCTGATGGACCATTAGACAAGACACGAATTTAAGCATTCTGATACATGATTCATGTGCAAAATATCACGTAGAACACGATAATTGCATCAAAAATTATTTAAATCAACTCCTAACTAAGATATTAACGTTTTGATTTTCCATTGGTCACGGAAAATTTGCATTGTCCGATCACAAGAAACGCAATACTGCGCCTCACAACGGCTTTGGCAGGCTCCTCGATCGAGCATTGTTCCTTTCCCGCACCCTTTATTGCTCAAAGCGGAAACAATTTGCTATAGCTGAACAGCTGAAGCGCCAAGATTGAGGGTGCTATATTTTCCTATCGCAGAGACTGTCACGGTGACACTCACGCGTTTTTATGAGCGGGAGGCTTGAATTCACGCGTCAAGGAACATTAAATATCCTGATTAGGCATTAATTGCAGTAATCTTTGTTGTGCAATCCGAATCGTGTTCTACGTTAAGAAACATGTATTAGAATGCTTAACTGCAGCATTCATAAGCTTGAACCATCAAAACACGATTCTAAGACCGGCGAAATTGCCACGTTCCATTTGCGCTCATCAAGAGATATGAAATTTTACACTCATAGGCCGGGCTTCTTACCCCTGTCTGCGGGCTGATTGTTGAAATTGAGAGACAAAACGTTAGACAAAGAAGATACATGGAGTGTAGAGCGATCCTACTGGTTGAAATGGTTGGTTCTTAAAGACTAAGGGAGAAAATTATGGACTACCTAAAATTAGCTAACTAAAATAGTGAGAAAAGTAGGGTCTCTCGTCGTCGGTTGCCGATAGTTGGACCGAGTTCATCAGTATGGAACCAACCCACATAAAGTTTAAACTGAGAAAAAAGGTTTGAAGTTATATTCCTCCATAAAACTCGATGTAGAATATAAACTTTGAACTCTCTTTCCGAGGCTAATTGTTTTTTTCGACTTCGAGTTTTTGGCAGGAGAAAATGTACGACTAGGGGAACTCAAAAACACCCTTAACTCATTTTATTCAAAAATGTGGGTTGGTTCCTTTCTGATAAACTCGGTCCTTTTAGTCTATTATCTATCGTATTTATCCATTGCAATCACCCGCTTCCACCAATAGGATCTCTCTACAGTCCTTTTGTCTTCTTTGTCTATAGCTTTATCTATCAATTTCAAAAATCAACGCCCGCTGAAGGAATTCCTCGCTCGGCGCAATCCACGCAACCAGCAACCTCCTGCTTCTACCAATAGGATCTCTCTTTATCCTTTTGTCCTCTTTATCTATAGCTTTGTCTATCAATTGCAAGAATCAGCCCGCTGACGGAATTCCTCGCTTGGCGAAATCCATCGCCATCCCCCGCTTCCACCAATAAGATCCCTCTAAATCCCTTTTGTCTTCTTTGTCTATAGCTTTGTCTATCAATTTCAACCATCAACCCGCTGAAGGAATTCCTTACTCGACGCAATCCATTGCACCCACCCGCTTCCACTACAGCCCTTTTGTCTTCTTTGTCTATAGCTTTGTCTATCAATTTCAAGAATCAGCCCGCCGAAGGAATTCCTCGCTCTGTGCAAAGCAAAGGGTTCGAAGCGTGGCTACCGCGGCGGGAGATTATTCAAGGAAGAACGCCCACCGCCCGGCTAATTCATTCTGTAACCCGGAGAGGATCATAGATTTGCAGATGTAAACAGAGGGAGAATTTGTTATGTAAGATGAGTCAATACGGCCGTTTCGATCTTTTGATGAATGATCGGGCCCGGGCGAGGCTCCGGACCGGAGACCGGGGAGGGTCCGCATGAGAATCCCGGCAGCTGCTTTCGCTCTTGCCCGGGTCCATTCTATAGACACAGATTATGGCCCAGTCATTCTTTTGACTCAATTTTTCTAGCTTAACAACTCCCTCTCACTTCTTGTATCCTTCCTCGCCCCCTCGGCCTATCTTCGGCTTGATTTGCTACCTCTCTCGCGAGTTCATTACTCGGATACCCCTCCCCTCTTGCTCTTAACTGAATCATCATTCTCGGCCGCGGCCGGCGTGATATTTTCATTACTCGCTCGGAGTTGCCTAAGAAGCATTGCCTCTACACGAGCGACTTCGAAATCCGATATTTGTTCATGTAATATGGACGTATTTCAGTCAAACGGAACTAAGCGTCAATTTGAGTTCCTTTTGAGGAATTTAGAATGCTGGATAGCGCATTCTGTCAAACGGAACTAAGCGCCACGGAAAAGCATTGCGAGTATAGGACGGAATGAGCTTGACGCCCGGATCCGCCGCCAATCCAAGCCCTCCTCTACCGTCCTCGCCCTATGGCGCTTAGTTCCGTTTGACAGAAATACGTCCATATAACACTAGCCGAAATTCATAGGAGACGAGGAAAGGATGTCTTATTAGTATTTATTTTATCGCAAAACTAGTTGCTACAACTCGCTTCACGAGTGATTATGGGATTTTCCTGAGCGGATGGTGAGAGTTTCGGATTTTTGGTATCCTTTGGACATCTCGTTTGCAACTAAAATTAAGGAAATCGGCCCGGCATTTCCTCAGAATTAAGAATCACAAGTTTTCGGCCCTTACAGTTTTATTTATATAGATAGAAGATATGATTCTTGATCTCCTGCTGATGAGGCGAATGTTGCCAGATTTTTAGAAATATTTTCTTTAATTAATACCTCTAAGACGTGGGGAAAAATGTCCAAAGTTAATGTTTTCTGTAAAAGGGATGTCAAACTCTTCCTAATTATTATGTGGCTCTGGTTTTTTTTTCTCCATGGCTCATTGGTTACGCGCCATGATTTCAATGTTGAATTCTGAAAATAAATATGAAATTATATACCTTGTCCATTCCGTATTTTCAGCGATACATTGGGAAACAAATTAAATTTAAACTCCCGAAAAGGGAATGTACGCCTACCTGGCATTTTTCGGCGGAGATTAAAATCTGAAGGAGCCCTGCAGATGGCGACGGTTGATGTGCAGAGAAGAAAATAGGGTGGGTTGGAGTGGGTGCTTCTGCAGGACTTTTCATACTTGGCGGATAAATGGGACCGACGGCAGGGATTTTAACAGGACCCAAGTTGCAATGATCCTGGCTTATCGGCCCGTTCGATGACAGGTCTTTCACGTGAAGGGCATGGTGAAGCTTTGGTTTTCGAGGACCTCTCTCATGTTGCACTGCTGAAAATTAAGAAGTTTATTCTTTGTTAGCAGGAAAAACCATCGAGAGATAAGAATGATTCATACAGTTTCTTACTCTATTGAAAAAAGCTAAGGTCTTTTTTCTGTGCAGGTTCGTGTCAATTTGCATTCTCATTGGTCCTTTCATTAACCAATCAGAAAACGTCATTGAAAATCCCCGGGAAATCTAAATGAAATCTTCGATGTATCATTCGATATAAAACAGGATAGCCACGGATAAAAAGGGGATGTATTGATATTAACCGGGATAAAAAAAGGGAAATTTAAGAGGAGGGTAATAGTCAGTGTGAAAGGGGATACCTAGGTATTGATAAAACAGGATAGATAGGGATAAAATAGGATAGATAGGGATAAAATAGGATAGATAGGGATGAAATAGAATGGACAGGGATAACTCGGGATGTATTTTTTTTTTTAAAAAAAAAGGTGTCTCTTAAGCTAAAAAAAACATCACACGTGCATTCTCCAAAATTGAGTCTTTGAGAGGTTTTGGTTGATTTTGTAAATTAATCAGTACTTTTAAAAAGACCATATGTCCAATTTTTCAAACTCGTCTTTTTCATACTGATGCTTTTTTTACGTGGCAATCGTGTTCCAAGAAGCAAATTATGGCTGCTTCCTTGAGTAATATAGTAAGGACAACCTAAGAGTTCAACAATGTGAAAAAAAAACAAGTGGGATATACTGATACGTTAGTGCTAGAAAAGCGCTCGGCTGTTTTCTATTCAGGCGCGTTTTTAAGTTCCCCGAAGAAGATGAGCACCGTTGAGATGAAAGAACTTGCTCACCAAAATTTCAGCTATCAATTTTGAGAAAACTACACTACCGCTAAAAAAAATGAATATAGAAAATCGATTATCGTCCTCTGTGCTTTGGCCCCGGAGGCATTAAATAAAGGTATCATAGATTAACCTTTTCTAAATATGTTAGGTCTCTCTTCGCCTTGTTGTTGAACTGCGGTGCGTTATTCGAACTCATTGATGCTAGTATACTAGAACCCCAGAGGCAGGTTGAAATCAAAAAGCGCTCCCCATTGGCTAAGATAGGACCTATTGGCCCTATTGGCGCTCAAAAGATTTTGAAAAATGGACCTTCCACCCAATTTAAAGGGACTGATTCAAATGAGGCGCTATCTTCCCAACCTTAGGGCACCTTCACCATAAATACCTAGGTCAAAAACCAAATCGACTTTTAGTGGAACTCACTACACTTACTTTCGTTTCAAAATGTTTGATGTGAAACTGTATCCGAATAAAGAAATTTTTTTGTGACTCTTCAGTCTTGTAAGCAGATCGATAATTTCCAATGGACGGCTTTCTGCTAAACGGAACTATGTGCATTATGACTTGAGCCCTATTTTGTATTTATTTTTATGGGCCCCAGAGCTCATGTCTCAATGTACATTGTTCCGTTTGGCAGAAATGCGTCCAAATGCGAGCCTTTAAACTGGAAAAACTCATAGAAACGGGCGAACAAACGGAGCCCGAGTCCGTATTTGCTGATTCGATCCGCGAAAGCGAGAGACGCCGCAAAGGCTGAGAAAAATCCCCGGAAAAAGGTTCACAGAAGCGGGAGGGTGCAGTGGCGTGGCGTGAATTGCGATATATCGATTGTTATGTCATTTAAACGCATAGAGAAGGATCGATAAACTGGGTGTTCGCAGCGAACACCTTAATAATCGATTCTTCACCATAGGTTTAAATGGTTTAACAATCGATACATCGCAATTCACGCCACGCTACTGGGAGAGTGGGTGGGAAAGGTGAATAGGTTGAGGGAAGATTTGAAGGCACGTTAAAAGAGTATCATTTAGTAAGCTTATTGACAGAGGAGCTTTCGGAAAACGCTCGACTGCTAATACTTTTTCATGTTCCCACTTCAAACATTTGATCCCCTCGATTTGGACGGTCGTCACGATTCTCTCTACATTACCGCCGTGCTGAGGAAAAACGCCGTATGAACACTCGAGAGTTGCCAAATTTCTTTGGATAAAACATGTATTTTTAAAGGAGGCTATGAATGTTATCCTTTGGAATTTTTAGATATTTTAGATTGAACTGCGAACAAAATTGTCTGAAAAATTGAAATAATCATATTGACAACTTTCCCAATTAATTTAAATTTTATCGAAGAGACGTTCGCAACGCTTGAAGGTTCATACGGCGTTTTTCCTTATCACGGTAAATCACCAGTCTGTACCAAGTCTGTGTACCAAGATCTCCAGTAAGTTGCACGGCTTCCCTACCCGCAAAGCCTCCCCCCACCAAAAGCAGTGGTATTCTCTTCTCTCCGTTCTTACTTTCCCCCGTTCATACTTTTCACACCAAAGCCACATTTTGGGCAGAGTGAGCTTGTTAAGTAATTTTTATTTCTTTTATTTTTGAAAAGTATAGAGTGCACATAATTCACAGGCATTCTCCCCGATTTGTTTCACAACATCAAACCACGAAATACAAGTTTGGAGTTGCGTATTTTGAGCTTTCATTAAAATGCAAATCGCCAAAAAAGCTATACGAAACCCGCAAAACAAACACAAAATTAGAGTAGAGCAAGGAAGAGGATGCGCGTTGATGACGGCGCAGAGAAACAACTATTCGTGCTCGATGGATGTCCGTGTTGCGTCTGCAAAATTGAAGGCGCGATGGCGCTAGGCGTCAACTTGCAATGCTCCGCTCTACGTATGCTGGTTGTGAGCTTTTTGCTACCGAGTGTGCTTTTCGTTGAAAGATGTCATTCAAAGAGATCCCTCGAGCAGCGGCGCTCACTTTTGACCAGGCGTTCTCTCTAGCCCAATTCATGATCCGTGCATTGGCAGTGAAAAGTAAACGAACACATTGGGATCATTCAACTTTCACGAAAATCATTATTTCTTTCACGAGAATGAAGTGCCTGGCAATGATTTCATAAGAATTGGAAGATTCTGACATGTTTGTTTATTTTTCATCATCAATACATGGACCATCGATTACACCAGAGGGAACGCGCTTTTAAAAAAAAAACTCATAATTAGTAACTTTGAACTAAATTTTGATGGGTTGTACCGCCTCAAAGAATCTGGCAATGTCAACAATGAGCTCTCTCTACTTTTAAAAAATGCAAGGATTAAAAAATTACTATACAAGCTCACTCTTTTGAAAAAATGTAACGAACAAATAACAAATGGAGAAACATGATGAAGGAGTTAGGTTTTTCAGGTTTCCCTCTCGATCTAACTTCACCTCTTCTTGGGCTATGCGCCACCTAGAGGACTTCAGTGTTTTGATTGCCTCTTGTTCCCTTTCCAATCGAATGAACTGAAATCTTGTTTTGGACGCCGCACAGTTGATCGAGTCAATAAGAGAGGTCAGACAAAATTTGGAAACTTTAAACGCTTATAACTCCGTTTATACGAAACTTTGAGGTTCAAAAAGTGGCTCCAATGGTTTTCTTGTGAAATCTTCTTCTAGAAACACTCCTTGAAATTTAAATTATAACGAAATAAACATAAAAATTGCCAGTTGTAGTAAAAAATTTCACGTCTAACCTCTCTGATTGATTCGATCCACTGTGCGTCACGAGCATTATGAATCTACCGTCGAAAGCGAGACCCACGCCGCCTCCAGTTGCTCTGATTATTTAGTGTCACTCCTGCTTTGTCATTCGAGTATCGCACCTTGTTTCCCGAGCCCCATCATTCATATTTATTACCTCCTCCATCGAACCTCATCTCAACTCACCGAGCCCTCTTGATTTCGTCTCATCCGCATCTTTGGACGGGGCGCGTGGCGGATGCCATAAATTATTTATGAATGTTACTATAAATTAGCGACCTGCCGAATGCGGCGGCCAGCGGGTCGATTGTTGAATCGTTATCGAATGCTTCCGATCGATAAACCCCTATCTTAACAATGCTATATATCGATCAAGGTCATTCGATATCGATTCAACAATCGAGGAGCAGGTACTTCGCAGGAGTGCAACAATAGAGTCCCTCCGCCATAAAAACACGCGCGCACCGGGGGGGGGGGGGATAACCCTCGTTTTTTCCCCCTCTGCTCCCGAGTCCCATCTCCTCCGATATGATTTGTGGGTGAACTCGAATTTATGGCCGCGGCTGTTTTAAATTAAAACCCTCCCCTCGCCGCAGATTGCTTTCTGATCCTTATTTTTTCCTCCTCTCGCCATTTTTTTCACCTTATTTTATTCGCTTCTTTTTCGATCACTGAGAGGAAGACGTGCCATTAAGAATGGGGAATATTCTGTGTGGTTTACGATTTTCATTATATTTATTTCAATCCGGCCATTGAGCTACAGTGTAATGTAACAGATCGTGGTGCTAAATAGAGCAAAAAATATGATGAAGCCGGGAGAAAAGGAACTCGAGATGCAATTGAAAAGAAAAAGAGACAAAAAGTGGACAATTTTGTATTGGCCATGGCTACAGAGAGCAACTCGCATTGTTTCCCACTCACTCAAACCAGTTCGCCTTCAATATCTCCGCTAGGCAATATGATCAGCTTAAGAGCAGTAATAGTTGCTTGCAGCATCTCGGCCGCGTTCACTCGGTTTATGCTTATCAGTAGCGTCTTAATACTGCTTCACTCATTTCCACCCGTTGAAACTAGTTTGCCTTCAATATCTTGATAGGCAATATGAGCGACCTGGGAGAAGTAATTGTTCCTAAGCCGTTTTATTATGTTTCTTAATTATTATCAAGCATATCATTAGCGGACTGATGCTCCCCCCTTCTTACAATTTTTATCACTCACTCTTATGAAGTTTCCTTCGATGATTCGTTTGTATAATATATGAGACAGGGAATTAAAGTTGCTTGGGAAATATTAACCGACATTAAATCTGCTTTGAATGTTACTTTCCGTTATTACACAAGCTTCAAATGTAAGCACAATATAAAAATGCAATAAAAAATTCTACTTTAAGCACGGGGGAGGTTTAAGTCAACTTTCCACTATTGTAAAATGTACAGTCGAAACACGTCA